TTCAGTGCATGAACTTTTTCTTGCAGAAAAGCTTGAACTTTTTCTCGTAGGAAAGTATGAACTTCTTTTTGTAGATAATTGCAGTGTATGAACTTCTTTTTGTAAAATAGTTCAGTGTATGAAAGTTCATACAATGAACTTTCTCTTGTAGAAAAGTTCATTGTTTGAAGTTTTTCATGAGGAAAAGTTCAGTGTTTGAACTTCTCTTGTAGAAAAGTTCAGTGTGTGAATGTTTATTATATTCACTGTTTTGCATTGTAGAAAAGTTCGTTGTTTGAAGTCTTTCTTTTGGAATAGATCAGTGTTCGAACTTTTCATTGTGGAAAAGTACAGTTTACTATTAAGAATTCTTTCCTGTTTTGGAAAAAGAAAAAGTTCATTGTACGAATCGTATTAATCTCGTTTACATTTTGTGCAGAAACTGTTGTGAATGCAGTTTTTTCAACGGACTAAAGTTCATGCTATAGAGTGCTTCCATATGTCACTGCCACGAGTGTCCTTATCTTTTAATCAATAAATACAAATTTCAAGGGAAAGGACATTCTCATTTACTCAAATTAATTATTTTGAGTGAAGTGTGAAGTCGTCTAAAACTAGCGGAAATTTAAACACAAAAAAAATGTTCTTCAATGTGAATCCTTCCTTGATGTGGTGCTTTAGAAAATTTCAAAATTATTTTCAATATTTTTACATAATACAAGGACTCACCGCCCATTGGTATGATGGGCGCCAAGAAAGATTTAAACGAAATACCCTTAGCCGTATGGCAGTCTTCGCGGCCCACAGTGTGGGATTGGCATTGCTGACTCGTGTTCTCTACGATTCCTTGGCGCTTTTTAAAGAACTGGAAAAAATGAATCCTTTAATGGCCATTGTGTCCGGTTATAAATATGTCCAGGGTGTAATGATTGTCTATACCATAATCCATATCTGGAGATATGATGCGGCTTATACCAAGTTGAAAAGTTTGATTTTGGTGTTGGAAAAGGAGACGATTCATAACATGGAGACTTTGAAGGGATGGAAATATAAATTCGAGTATCTGAAGTTTTTAAAATATGTTATACTCTCCTACATTTACGTAGTCAATATGTTGATCGGCTATGGTTCACTGGCCTGTGATTGTTTCATCTGGAATCCCATATTTATTGTGTGCTATGCCAATCTTCAAATGCTTCCCTTTTTGGTATTGTATCAATATTTTCAAATGATTTGGAAGATATGCCGTTGCTTTTGTTATATTGATGTGACAATAGTGGCCATGGCACAGGAAAGTGATAACTGGCCTTCTGGGGCTTTTGGATACCATTCCAGGCTTTACCATCTACTCCAATTACACTCAAAATTATGTCGATTTCTAATGCAATTAAAAATAATTTTCAAATGGCAATTACTCATTTGCCGTGCCAACATCATACTATTCAACCTGATAGCAGCCTATTCGATTTTTCTTTTCCTGGAGTTCATTAAAAATGCTGTAGAACTTTTGAGCCTCATTGGTCTGACATATTTCTGCTATATTCTCTATTTATATATTACCGATTATATGAGCGAAATGACATCGTCTAGTTTCGGTGATTTAAATATGGGTCTGAAAGAGTTTAATGTTTTACGAAATGTGTCTGGGAATATAGAAAAAGCGGTAAGTTTTAATACTTCAAAATGTTTCGTTTGTTTCATTTCTATGCTTCTAAGTTTCGTTCGAAATGAAGTCATGACAAGTGAAGTTTTCAAACACTTCTGAAACTTTAAGCCAAATTATGACAAATTGATCTCGATTTCCATAACTTCAAAAGACTTTTTGGCTTTTTAGGTTATTGGAACGTCAATACAGAAAATTTTGGAAATATTTACATCCCGATACAATACCTTAGTCCTTAAAATACATCTTGTTACTCAAAATCTATTAAATCTCTATCTTTTATTTTCATTTCAGTGCGAAGAGTTTGCCATATATATTTGTAATCGTAAATTGAATTTGAAACTGGCCGGAGCTCTGAATATGGATCGGAAATCCTGGTTTTCTATGATGTCCCGACTGGTTATGTATTCAATAATTTTGATCCAAAGTCACATGTATATAGACCGGCAAAAATAAAAAAAAAAGTTTTATAAAATTTTTTAGCCTGGATGGATTTTATATTTGATCATTTAAGAATATTTTTTCAAGAACCAACATATTTTTGATTTTTTTTTTTTTTTTCCTTCAATAGCCAAATATTCTGGGTTTTAAAAAATATTTTTCCTGGGCCAAAAATTTCTGGATTTTTTTAGAGGAATAATTTTTTAAGGACCATGAATATGATTTTTTTAGAGAGTATCTTTTCAAGGACCAACAGAAGGTGGATTTTTTAAAGAAATATATTTTCCAAGGACTAACAGAACGTGGATTTATAAAGAAATATATTTTCCAAGGACTAACACAATGTGGATTTATAAAGAAATTTATTTTCCAAGGACTAACACAATGTGGATTTATAAAGAAATATATTTTCCAAGGACTAACAGAACGTGGATTTATAAAGAAATATATTTTCCAAGGACTAACACAATGTGGATTTATAAAGAAATATATTTTCCAAGGACTAACACAATGTGGATTTATAAAGAAATATATTTTCCAAGGACTAACACAATGTGGATTTATAAAGAAATATATTTTTCAAGGACTAACAGAACGTGGATTTATAAAGAAATATATTTTCCAAGGACTAACAGAGAGTGGATTTTTTAAAGAAATATATTATCCAAGGACTAACAGAGAGTAGATTTTTTAAAGATTTTAAAGAAATATATTTTAAAGGACTAACAGAACGTGGATTTTTTTTAAGAAATATATTTTCCAAGGACTTTGAAGACGTGGATTTTTTAAAGAAATATATTTTCCAAGGACTAACAGAACGTGGATTTTTAAAGAAATATATTTTCCAAGGACTAACAGAACGTGGATTTTTAAAGAAATATATTTTTCAAAGACTAACAGTACGTGGATTTTTAAAGAAATATATTCTTCAAGGACTAACAGAACGTGGATTTTTAAAGAAATATATTCTTCAAGGACTAACAGAACGTGGATTTTTAAAGAAATATATTTTTCAAGGACTAGGAAGACGTGGATTTTTTAAAGAAATATATTTTTCAAGGACTAACAGAACGTGGATTTTTAAAGAAATATATTCTTCAAGGACTAACAGAACGTGGATTTTTAAAGAAATATATTTTTCAAGGACTAGGAAGACGTGGATTTTTTAATGAAATATATTTTCCAAGGACTAAGAAGACGTGGATTTTTTAAAGAAATATATTTTCCAAGGACTATAAAGACGTATATTTTTTAAAGAAATATATTTTCCAAGGACAAAGAAGACGTATATTTTTTAAAGAAATATATTTTTAAAGGACTAAGAAGACGTATATTTTTTAAAGAAATATATTTTTCAAGGACTAGGAAGACGTGGTTTTTTTTAAGAAATATATTTTCCAAGGACTAGGAAGACGTGGATTTTTAAAGAAATATATTTTTAAAGGACTAAGAAGACGTGGATTTTTAAAGAAATATATTTTTCAAAGACAAAGAAGACGTGGATTTTTTAAAGAAATATATTTTCCAAGGACTAACAGAACGTGGATTTATAAAGAAATATATTTTTAAAGGACTAAGAAAACGTGGACTTTTTAAAGAAATATATTTTCCAAGGACTAACAGAGAGTGGATTTTTTATAGAAATATATTTTCCAAGGACTAACAGAGAGTGGATTTTTTAAAGAAATATATTTTCCAAGGACTAAGAAGACGTGAATTTTTTAAAGAAATATATTTTTTAAGGACTAAGAAGACGTGGATTTTTTAAAGAAATATATTTTCCAAGAACTTAGAAGACGTGGATTTTTTAAAGAAATATATTTTCCAAGGACTAAGAAGACGTGGATTTTTTAAAGAAATATATTTTTAAAGTACTAAGAGGACGTGGATTTTTAAAGAAATATATTTTTCATGGACTAAGAAACGTGGATTTTTTTAAGAAATATATTTTTCAAGGACTAGGAGACGTGGATTTTTTAAGAAATATTGTTTTCAAGGACTAGGAAGACGTGGATTTTTTAAAGAAATATATTTTTAAAGGACTAAGAGGACGTGGATTTTTTTAAGAAATATATTTTTAAAGGACTAAGAGGAGGTATATTTTTTAAAGAACATAAAAAACTGCAACAAAGTCAAACGCCATAATTTCTACAATTTTTTTTTAAATTTTATTTTCGGAAATAGCAACAAATTTTGGAATAAGTTTAGATTTGTTCAAATTGGTCACCTTTGGCACGAATTATGGCCTTCAAACGGCCAATGTTGTTCTGTGGTATTTTGGCCCATTTCTGGCGAAGCGACACGTTGGTATTTTTTAGTGCCAGAATATTTTCGCGATAATATTCGGTATTTATTCTGATGCCACGGTCGATTAATACGAGTGGAGAGCGACTGTCGGTTGTTATGGCGGCCCACACCATCACCATGGCCGGATCTTGAGTTTTCAGCTGACCTCTTTGGCAAGTAAACACGATCATTTTGTTTGTTTACAAACTGCTGGACAACGAATGTTTTCTCATCGGAGAAAACCAAATTCGGCAGTTCACCACATTCGGCCGGGCGAAGCAACTCTTTAGCTCTTTTGAGTCTATTTTTCTCATTTGTCGGATGGAATCTTGCGATATGTTCAGATCACGAGTCATTAGAAATGACAGCAGTCTGAAATTGGTTGCAGTTTTTTCATCTCACCCTGTAATATTATGGATTATGAAATGCCCACCATCCCTCTTCGCCAAGTCACTTAGATAATCAATTACCAATTTACTGCCAATTATTTGCAAAATAAAGTTTTTACAAATTGCCTAACCTTTTACATAACTCGTCAAAAACTTTTCCCACTTAAACTAATTGAGCCATTATGGGAAGGACTATAAAAGGCCGAAACTGGGGCCATATAATTATCAGTAGTTCCATTCGGCCCGTTAAAAAAACATTTTATTTCTCGAAGATGTTTTTACGTTTCCTGTCGCGTTCAAATCCCTTGAAAGAGTATTATTTCTATGTACCGCGAATATGTCTGCAATTGATGGGCTTTTGGCCAGGTTCACCGCGCTCAAGACGAATCCTCTGCTGGGCTGTGTTTAACTTCATCATTTTGTTGGTGGGTGTGGTGACCGAACTTCATGCTGGTTTTTCCTATTTAAATTATGATTTGGAAAAGGGTTTGGATACGTTGTGTCCGGCAGGCACCTCAGCTGTCACGGTATTGAAAATGATTCTGATTTCCTATTATCGTCAAGATTTGGAAGCAGTACTGAAGAAAATGCATCAAATGCTCTATGGATGTAATGAGAAGGATATGGAACATAAGGCGGTATATAATCGTATTATACGCCAGTCTTCGGTTATGGCAGCGAGAGTGAATTTTGCCCCATTTCTGGCGGGATTTATAACCTGTACAGCCTACAATTTAAAACCATTGATATTGGTGTGGATATTTTGGTCTAAAGGCAAGGATTTGATGTGGCTGACACCGTTTAATATGACGTAAGTACAAAAGGACCTCTAGAGATACTTTTGAAATATTGAAAAAATAATTTTTAAAAATCCACGTTTTGTTAGTCATTGAAAAAATAATTTTTAAAAATCCACGTTTTGTTAGTCATTGAAAAAATAATTTTTAAAAATCCACGTTTTGTTAGTCATTGAAAAAATAATTTTTAAAAATCCACGTTTTGTTAGTCATTGAAAAAATAATTTTTAAAAATCCACGTTTTGTTAGTCATTGAAAAAATAATTTTTAAAAATCCACGTTTTGTTAGTCATTGAAAAAATAATTTTTAAAAATCCACGTTTTGTTAGTCATTGAAAAAATAATTTTTAAAAATCCACGTTTTGTTAGTCATTGAAAAAATAATTTTTAAAAATCCACGTTTTGTTAGTCATTGAAAAAATAATTTTTAAAAATCCACGTTTTGTTAGTCATTGAAAAAATAATTTTTAAAAATCCACGTTTTGTTAGTCATTGAAAAAATAATTTTTAAAAATCCACGTTTTGTTAGTCATTGAAAAAATAATTTTTAAAAATCCACGTTTTGTTAGTCATTGAAAAAATAATTTTTAAAAATCCACGTTTTGTTGGTCATTGAAAAAATAAGTTTTAAAAATCCACGTAAGTCTTTGAAAAAAATATTTTTTAAAAATTTACGTTTTGATAGTCCCTAATTTTTTTTTTAATTCACGTTAGTCCTTGAAAAAATATTTTTTAAATACACTTCTTGAAAAAATCATTGAAAACTTATTTTTTAAGAATAGAAGTTTTGATTGTCCCTGAAAAAATAATTTTTAAAAATCCACGTTTTGTTAGTCATTGAAAAAATAATTTTTAAAAATCCACGTTTTGACAGTCCTTGAAAAAAATTTGTAAAAATCCAAGTTTTGTTAGTCATTGAAAAAATAATTTTTAAAAATCCACGTTTTGTTAGTCATTGAAAAAATAATTTTTAAAAATCCACGTTTTGTTAGTCATTGAAAAAATAATTTTTAAAAATCCACGTTTTGTTAGTCATTGAAAAAATAATTTTTAAAAATCCACGTTTTGTTAGTCATTGAAAAAATAATTTTTAAAAATCCACGTAAGTCTTTGAAAAAAATATTTTTTAAAAATTTACGTTTTGATAGTCCCTAATTTTTTTTTTAATTCACGTTAGTCCTTGAAAAAATATTTTTTAAATACACTTCTTGAAAAAATCATTGGAAACTTATTTTTTAAGAATAGAAGTTTTGATTGTCCCTGAAAAAATAATTTTTAAAAATCCACGTTTTGTTAGTCATTGAAAAAATAATTTTTAAAAATCCACGTTTTGACAGTCCTTGAAAAAAATTTGTAAAAATCCAAATCAAAACTTCAAATAATATCCTTGAAATTCCTTCAAAATAATTAAGAAAGGCAATCCATATTTTGTCTGCAAACATCCTTTTAAATAAATAAAAACTGACAAATTGAACAAAATCTCTAATATATTTGAATGAACCTTCCAAGGATGTTTATTGCATTTCCCCAAGGAAGGTCGAGGCTAAAAAAAAAAACATTTAAAAAAGAGAAAAAAATGCCGATTTTTTAAATATTTGTTTCAACTAATTTTCAGCCTTTTGAAAACTTTTTTTCAAGGGCTTCCAGTGCTTCGAAATTTTGATAAAATAAATATTTGATATTTTAACCTCACTTATTTATTTGTGTTTTTATTTTCCCATTTAGCATGCCCAAATTTCTCTTGGAAGGTCCCCTGTATCCCTTGGCCTATATTTTCACCGCCTATACCGGCTATGTGACCATCTTCACCTTTGGCGGCTCGGATGCCTTATATTTTGAATATTGTACCCATATTGCAACGCTGCTGAAAATGTTACAAACCGATGTCAAGTTACTGTTTCGGAAATTTGAAGGCAAATTAACTCTCACCCCGACCGAAGCGGCCTATGTGGAGGAACAATTGATATTAATTATAAAACGCCACAATGTCATTATCGAAATGACTGATTTCTTTAGGAAACGTTATAGCATTATAACCCTGGCCCATTTTGTGTCGGCCAGCATGGTAATTGGGGCGAGTATTTTCGAAATGTTAACGGTAAGAGATATAGAGAGAGAAATTTGGGGGGATAAAAGAGCGGTAGAGAAAAACTAAAAAAATATATTATCTCCTTAAATATTGTTACAGTACACCGGTTTTGGACGTTTCATTTATTTGGGCTATACTGTGGCGGCCCTATCGCAATTGGCGGTCTATTGCTATGGTGGCACCCTGGTGGCGGAAAATGTTTGTAGCCCCTTCCCATGTAATTTTTTTTTTTCTCAATTTATTTTATTTTCCTCTCAGAGCATTTATTTGGCCACAGTTGTTTTCAAGTGCAACTGGTACATTTGCGATCCGAAACTGAGGCGCATTATCCTCATGATTATCTGCCGATCTCAGAAATCGTTGAACATGTCGGTGCCATTCTTTTCACCCTCGATGAGCACATTCGCGTCGGTAAGTGATTTTCTTTTTAAATTTTTAAGAAATTCCATTCAATTGTCGCTAATTTCAGATTTTACAGACCTCAGGTTCGATAATAGCCTTGGCATCATCCTTTCAGTAAAATTTCGAGGAGGAATACTCTCAATATAATCTCACTAAAAATACACCATTTTTTTCACAAAGTAGGAGTTTTAGGCACCATTAAATATTTACTTGTTGCTGTTAAATAAAGACCAGATGGTCCTTATCCGTAAATATCCGTTTTTAAAAATTCATGTTTATTTGGTCCTTGAAAAAATATTTTTTAAAGAATTGTCTGTTCTTTACGTCGTTGAATAATTATATTTTATTCAATTCCTGGTTTTAATGGTCCTTTTAAAATATTTTTCTTCAAACATCCTCGTTTTAATGATCCTTAAAAAATTTATTTTAAGAAAAGCTCTTAAAAAATTATTATTATTATATAAAAAATTATTATTATTATATAAAAATCGACGTTTTTGTGTTTTTTTGAAAAAATAATTTACAAAAACCCAAGGTTGCGATAGTCCTTGAAAAAAAAATTACAAAAAACCAAAGTTGTGATAGTCTTTGAAAAATATATATTTTTTTAAAAATCCACATTTTGTAATCTTTGAAAAAACAATTTTAAAAATTTCACGTTTTGATAGTCTTTGTAAAAACAATTTTAAAAATTCCACGTTTTGATAGTCTTTGAAAAGATAATTTTTTAAAAAATCAAGATTGCGATGTTCTTTGAAAAATTTTTTAAAAAATTATTTTTTTTAAAACTTTTAAAACATTTTTTAAAAAATAATTTTTTAAAAATCCACGTTTTAATAGTATATTTTTTTAAACATCCACGTTTTAGAGTCCTCGAAAAAATTATTTTTAAACATCCACGTTTTAGAGTCCTCGAAAAAATTATTTTTAAACATCCACGTTTTAGAGTCCTCGAAAAAATTATTTTTAAAAAATCCACGTTTTAGAGTCCTCGAAAAAATTATTTTTAAAAAATCCACGTTTTAGAGTCCTCGAAAAAATTATTTTTAAAAAATCCACGTTTTAGAGTCCTCGAAAAAATTATTTTTAAAAAATCCACGTTTTAGAGTCCTCGAAAAAATTATTTTTAAAAAATTCACGTTTTAGAGTCCTCGAAAAAATTATTTTTAAAAAATCCACGTTTTAGAGTCCTCGAAAAAATTATTTTTAAAAAATCCACGTTTTAGAGTCCTCGAAAAAATTATTTTTAAAAAATCCACGTTTTAGAGTCCTCGAAAAAATTATTTTTAAAAAATCCACGTTTTAGAGTCCTCGAAAAAATTATTTTTAAAAAATCCACGTTTTAGAGTCCTCGAAAAAATTATTTTTAAAAAATCCACGTTTTAGAGTCCTCGAAAAAATTATTTTTAAAAAATCCACGTTTTAGAGTCCTCGAAAAAATTATTTTTAAAAAATCCACGTTTTAGAGTCCTCGAAAAAATTTTTTTTAAAAAATCCACGTTTTAGAGTCCTCGAAAAAATTATTTTTAAAAAATCCACGTTTTAGAGTCCTCGAAAAAATTATTTTTAAAAAATCCACGTTTTAGAGTCCTCGAAAAAATTATTTTTAAAAAATCCACGTTTTAGAGTCCTCGAAAAAATTATTTTTAAAAAATCCACGTTTTAGAGTCCTCGAAAAAATTATTTTTAAAAAATCCACGTTTTGATAGTGCTTGAAAAAATTATTTTTTAAAAATCCACGTTTTGATTGTTCTTGAAAAAATAATAATGGTTCTTGAAAAAATAAAAATCGTTTAGATAGCCCTTTAAAAAAATTATTTTTTCAAAAAATTTTTAAAATTTTTAAAAAAATAATAATTTTTAAAAATCCTCGTTTTAATATTCTTTAAAAAAATAATTTTTAAAAATCCATAGTTCTAAAAGTCCTTAAAGAAATAATTTTTAAAAATCCATAGTTCTAAAAGTCCTTAAAGAAATAATTTTTAAAAATCCATAGTTCTAAAAGTCCTTAAAAATTAATTTTTATAAATCCACGTTTTGATAGTTTTTGAAAAAATAATTTTTAAAAAATCCACGTTTTTGTGAGAATTTTCCAGGAAAAAAGTTATTCGTGATGGAATTCAAGCCTGATAGTGTGATTTCTTTATATTTGGCTGGAAAACCACAAGTGGCTATCCTGAGAGAGCATCCAGCATTTAAATTCTTATTCCAAAATTTGATGCTATTTCCGACATTTTTTGCTTTCATTTAATAAAATTTAAGAAAAAAATGAAAAATTATTGCGTTTGACTTTGTTGCAGTTTTTTTTATCTCATCCTGTATGTTTTATAAATCCGCTCTGTTTTGAAACTTCAATTGTTGAATTGAAAATTCTTTTAATTTTTTTTTGTACAATATTTTATTCCTTCACTTTTGCCGATCTATATACATGTGACTTTGTATCAAAATTATCGAGAACATCACCAGTCGGGACATCATGGAGAACCAGGATTTTCGATCCATATTCAGAGCTCCGGCCAGTTTCAAATTCAGTTTACGATTACAAATATAAATGGCAAATTCCTCGCACTGAAATGAAAATAAAAGAGACACATAATTATTAGATTTTGAAAAAGAAAATGTGTTTTTCGGAAGGAGGGTATTGTAGGGAGAGGTCAGCTTTTCAAATTCTTCTTTAATGGAATTTTATGGACCTAAAAACATAAAAAGTCTTTTAAAATATGGAAATATCCACTCGCCAAGATTTGGCTTTAAGTTTCACAAAAGTTTCAAAATTTCACTTGAAAAGAAACAAACGAAACATTTTGAAGCACCAAAACTTACCGCTTTTTCTACACTACCAGTTACCGATTGCAAAACATTGAAACCTTTCAGGCCGGTATTCAAATCACCAAAACTAGACGATGTCATGTCACACATATAGTCGTTAATATATAAATCCAGAGTATTGAAAAAATACGTCACAGCGACAAGACCCAAAATGGCCATGGTCTCCCTGATATACAGAATGAAGAGAAATGTAAAATAGGCTGCTGTCAAGTTACACATAATGATGTTGGAACGGCAGACCAACAACTCCAATTGGAAGATTGACTTTAATTCTCCCAAAACTCGGCATAACTTTGAATGTAGGCGTTGTAACTCACAAAGTCTAGAAGTTGTATCATTTTCAACTCCCAATAACTTTTTCTCGGCCATGGAGACCACATTCATCTCAATATGGCAAAAACAGCGACATATTTTGAAAAAAACTTCAAAATATTGATACAACACCAAATAGGGTAGCATTTGCAGGTTGGCAAAACATACTATCAATGGAACATCCCACAAGCTAAATTGCCACGGCAATGAGTTGTAGCTCAGCAACATATTGGCCCAATAAATGTAGAAAAGTATGCCATATTTCAAATACATCAGATATTCGAATTTATATTTCCATCCTTGGCATTCGTTCATGTTATGGTTCGCCTCCTTTTCCAATAACAAAATCCAACTCTTCAACTCGAAACAAGCCATATCATATCTCCAAATGTGAATTATGGTATAGACAATCATCACACCTTGAACATATTTATAACCAGACATAATGACCATTAAAGGATTCAAATTTCCAGTGTTTTCAAATAATTCCAAAGAGTCGATGAGAATGTAAACCAGAAATACCAAACCCACACTGTGGGCCAAAAACACCACCACACGGCTAAGGGCATTTCGTTGAAATCCATTCTGGCTCTCATCATACCAATAGGCAGTGAGTCCTTGCACAATGACAAAATATTGAAAATAATTTCGAAATTTTCGACAAAAACTCTTCATGGAATGTTTTAGATTGAAAAACATTTTTTGCTTTACACATCTGCAGACACCGTAATAGCTGGCACCTAACTAAAAACAATTAATCGAATAGTTTAAAATGTCCTTTCTCTTGAATTTTTTATTGACAGATCAAAGGAGATAAGGGAAACAGTGACAATAACATATGGAAGTACACTACGTAAGGCATCATCGCTCTGACCACAAAACAGCTCATTAGACAACTTTTATTCCCCTTTTTTCTGTACGAAAAAGTATATACGATGAACTGTTTTCTATACGAAAAAGTTCATTTAATGCACTGTTTTCTATACGAAAAATTTCATTTAAAGAACTGTTTTCTATACGAAAAAGTTCTTTCAATCAACCGTTTTCTATACGAAAAAGTACTAACATGAACTTTTTTCTATTCGAAAAAGTTCATACACTGAACTGTTTTCTATCCGAAAAAGTTCATACGATGAAATGTTTTATATACGAGAAAGTTCATACGATGAACTGGTTTCTATACGAAAAAGTTCATACACTGAACTTTTTTCTATACGAAAAAGTTCATACGATGAACTTTTTTCTATACGAAAAAGTTCATACGATGAACTTTTTTCTATACGAAAAAGTTCATACGATGAACTTTTTTCTATACGAAAAAGTTCATACGATGAACTTTTTTCTATACGAAAAAGTTCATACGATGAACTTTTTTCTATACGAAAAAGTTCATACGATGAACTTTTTTCTATACGAAAAAGTTCATACGATGAACTTTTTTCTATACGAAAAAGTTCATACGATGAACTTTTTTCTATACGAAAAAGTTCATACGATGAACTTTTTTCTATACGAAAAAGTTCATACGATGAACTTTTTTCTATACGAAAAAGTTCATACGATGAACTTTTTTCTATACGAAAAAGTTCATACGATGAACTTTTTTCTATACGAAAATGTACATACGACGAACTGTTTTCTATACGAAAAAGTACATACGACGAACTGTTTTCTATCCGAAAAAGTTCATTCGAAATAAACTGTTTTCTATACGAAAAAGTTCATACATTGAACTGTTTTGTATCCAAAAAAGTTCATACGATGAACTGTTTGCTATACCAAAAAGTTCATACGATGAATTGTTTTCTATACGAAAAAATTCATACACTGATATATGAAAAAGTTCATACGATGAACTGTTTTCCATACGAAAAAGTTCATACGATGAACTGTTTTCCATACGAAAATGTTCGTACGATGAACTGTTTTCTATACGAAAACGTTCATATGATGAACTGTTTTCTATACGATAAAGTTCATTCAATCAACTGTTTTCTGTACTAAAATGTATTTACATGAACTTTTTTCTATTCGAAAAAGTTCATACACAGAACTGTTTTCTATCCGAAAAAGTTCATACGATTAACTGTTTTCTATACGAAAAAGTTCATATGATTAACTGTTTTCTATACGAAAAAGTACATACGACGAACTGTTTTCTATACGAAAAAGTACATACGACGAACTGTTTTCTATCCGAAAAAGTTCATTCGAAATAAACTGTTTTCTATACGAAAAAGTTCATACATTGAACTGTTTTGTATCCAAAAAAGTTCATACGATGAACTGTTTGCTATACCAAAAAGTTCATACGATGAATTGTTTTCTATACGAAAAAATTCATACACTGAACTGTTTTCTATACGAAAAAATTCATTCGATTAACTGTTTTCTATACGAAACAGTACATACAATGAACTGTTTTCTATACGAAAAAATTCATACACTGAACTGTTTTCTATACGAAAAAGTTCATACGATAAACTATTTTCTATACGAAAAAGTTCATACGAGGAACTGCTTTCTATACGAAAAAGTTCATACGAGGAACTGTTTTCTATACAAAAAAGTTCATACGATGAACTGTTTTCTATACGAAAAAAATCATACACTGAACTGTTTTCTATACGAAAAAAGTTCATACGATGAACTGTTTTCTATACGAAAAAAATCATACACTGAACTGTTTTCTATACGAAAAAGTTCATACGATTAACTGTTTTCTATACGAAACAGTACATACAATGAACTGTTTTCTATTCGAAACAGTACATACAATGAACTGTTTTCTATACGTAAAAGTTCATGCAATGAGCTTTTTCAATACGAAAAAGTTTCAGCACTGAAATGTTTTCTATACGAAAAAGTACATTCGTTGAACTTTTTCTATACGTAAAAGTTCATTCGAAATTATCTGTTTTCTGTACGAAACAGTACATTTGAGTATCATTCGAGATGAACCGTTTTCTGTACGAAAAAAGTTCATTTGAAATGAACTGTTTTCTATGCGAAAAAGTTCACCCTATGACTGTTTTTCATACGAAAAAGTTCATTCGAGATGAACTGTTTTCTGTACGAAAATGTTTTTAATTAGTAGTAGAAATCTGTGAATATTTACCTGTCTCTCAAGATCTCTTGCATAGCTACGAACTCCAGTGAATTTCTTCAGGGCCAAATTCAAGTCGGTAAAATGTTGCGAGGTCATATCAATTATGTTGTCATTCAAATATAAATCTATATTATTAAAGACATTTGTGGACACCACTAGGATAAGAAATGCCACATCATCCTTGATATATTCCGGATACAGGAAAGCATAATAGACCGCTATGATGTCATTGACATTTACATTATAACGACACTGAAATATCTGCGATTTACAGAGAATTTGTAACCTCCTTAGACAGGAGCCCAAATTCGAATGCAACTGCAATAGCCAAGATAATTTGTAACATAGATGACGTTCTTTGAGATCATTCCTACTAGGCAATTCGAGAATGGCCTCTTCGGCTAGACAGGAAATATACAACTCAATGTAGCTATAAATGCGACAGGTTTTCCAAAACATTTGAAAGTTTTGAAACAATATCAAATAGGTAAGATATTGGACATTGGCAAGCAAGACAATCCTGAAGATGGTCCAAAAGTTCATGCCGCGGGACAGTACAGTATAGCTGGTTATCAGGACGGACAGATAAAGGTATGCCATAATGGAGTATTTAAAATACAACAATTTTTTAAATTGTCCATCAATTTTTTTAGAACTTGCAAAATTGCTTCGGCTCTGCTCCTCCAACTTTTCTATTTGCCTTTTAATAGCTGTATAGCTGCCATCTGTGCGCCAGATATGTACGATGGCATTTAGAACTAGCAGCCCTTGAAGATATTTGAATGATGACATTATCACCATCAGACGATGTCGCTGCTCAATATTCTCAAAGACTTCTAAATAGTCAATCAAAACTTGTACCAAGACAATGGCACCCATTATATTTACGGCAGTGGCCAGCGTTCCGGATACGGAATTTCGTTCATATACTCCCTTTTCCTGGTCATACCAGTACGAAGTTAAGCCCATGTATATGAGAAAATATTGTCGAATATTTTTAAATCTTTTCTGCATTTTTATAAAACGACTTTTCATTATTTGATTTTGAAACAAATTTTGCCGCTATCGAAGAAGATTCTTGAAGAATTCAATTACTACTGGATATGTTGGATAGGCATAGGATTGACTTGAATGTGGTATGTAAATATTTATTTAACAGTGTAAATAAATACTTACATATCCTCAGGTCAATTGTATGCCAACACAAAAGTTTAAATCAACACATGTCCATTTCAAATGTAATACGGGAAGCTCACAGTTCATAGAGGGCGAAAGAGTTCATTGGCAATGTCGTGAAATGACATCCGTTTTCCCATAGAAAGGTCACACACTTTTCCCAAACAGAAAAAGTTAATTCGACAAAAAGTTCATTTGATGAATTGTTTTCTATACGAAAAAGTTCATTTGATGAACTGTTTTATATACGAAAAAGTTCATTTGATGAACTGTTTTCTATACGAAAAAGCTCATACGATGAACTGTTTTCTATCCGAAAAAGTTCATAGATGAACTGTCTTCTATACGAACTGTATTCTATATGAAAAAGTTTATTTGATGAACTGTTTTCAATACGAAAAAGTTCATGAGATGAACTGTTTTCAATACGAAAAAGTTCATGAGATGAACTGTTTTCAATACGAAAAAGTTCATGAGATGAACTGTTTTCAATACGAAAAAGTTCATGAGATGAACTGTTTTCAATACGAAAAAGTTCATGAGATGAACTATTTTCAATACGAAAAAGTTCATGAGATGAACTGTTTTCAATACGAAAAAGTTCATACGATGAACTGTTTTCTATACGAAAAAGATCATACGATGAACTGTTTTCTATACGAAAAAGTTCATACGATGAAATGTTTTCTATACGAAAAAGTTCATACGATGAACTGTTTTCTATACGAAAAAGTTCATACGATGAACTGTTTTCTATACGAAAAAGTTCATACGATGAACTGTTTTCTATACGAAAAAGTTCATACGATGAAATGTTTTCTATACGAAAAAGTTCATACGATGAACTGTTTTCTATACGAAAAAGTTCATACGATGAACTGTTTTCTATACGAAAAAGTTCATACGATGAACTGTTTTCTATACGAAAAAGTTCATACGATGAACTGTTTTCTATACGAAAAAGTTCATACGATGAACTGTTTTCTATACGAAAAAGTTCATGAGATGAACTGTTTTCTATACGAAAAAGTTCATAAGATGAACTGTTTTCTGTACGAAAAAGTTCATGAGATGAACTGTTTTCTATACGAAAAAGTTCATGAGATGAACTGTTTTCTATACGAAAAAGTTCATGAGATGAACTGTTTTCAATACGAAAAAGTTCATTTGATGAACTATTTTCTATACGAAAAAATTCATGAGATGAACTTTTTTCTACACGAAAAATTTCATGCGATGTACTGTTTTCAATACGAAAAAGTTCATACGATGAACAGTTTTCAATACGAAAAAGTTCATACGATGAACTGTTTTCAATACGAAAAAGTTCATACGATGAACTGTTTTCATAAGATGAACTTTTTTCTATACGAAGGTTTATTGGATAAATATTTTCCAAACTTACCTGCTTCTCCACTGGACCTCTTCTCCCTGATGTTTCATTAAACTCCTTCAGGCTTGCTTCCAGTTCCTTAAAACTTTGTGAAATCATGTCGCATACAAAATCCGTTATATATAAATACAAAGCATTCAAAAAATAACCAAATATAAATATGCCTGATAAAAGCAACGATTTCTTTATCTGATCGGCGAAAACGAAGTTCGTATACACCGTTAAAATATTGGCAAATATTATGTAGAAACGGCTAAAGAAAATATGCCATTTACAAATCCGCTGCAATTCCCCTAATTGGCCACATAGCTGGGAATGTACTTTCGAAATCCAGTGTATTTCCTTGGACAAATTACGTTCCTCTTGCCTGTTGGATTTTCGGCTCAAAACTGCAACATATTCTTTGAGTTGATAAAATTTTCGACACAATTTCCAATTCAATTCGAAATATTGAAATAATACAAAATGATATAGACTTATCACATTCGTGTAGAAGGCAATCAGGATCACTGTCCATATGTTCAATCGGTCTGCGTAGGCTATCATATTCGTCACCAATACACCCAAACAAGAATAACCCAATAGGAAATATTTAAGGCGTAACAAAAGTTGGAGTTTGGAATCGATTTTCCGGCAGACAGGCAACTTTTCGTCACAACTGTTCTCCAGTTTTAAAATTCTCAATTTCAATTGAATATAACTCCTATCTTTGCACCAGATGTGACCTATGGTATAGATGGCCAATATAGTTAGAAGCTGATAATTAAAGGTTAACATCAGGACCAAGAGAGGGTGCAGAAGTTCAGCTCCCGAAATGAACATCAAATATTTCACAACAATGTGAAACAATAACGCCAGCTCCAAAATATTGATTAGCAAATGAACATTGCGGGAGAGGGAATTGCGTACGAAAAGGCCCCTCTCTGTGTCATACCAATATGAGGTTAGGCCCTGTACTATGGGAAAAAAGCGACAATACTTTCCAAAATATATGAATTTCATGACACAAGAAATACACTTTTTCCGTTCTGCTTTAAACTTGTCAACGGTTTGGTTTGTACTGAAGTTTTGTGGTCACTTCCTATCAGAGATTACCAACAAGTTGATTAACCCTAATGTGGTCACTGAATACGATTTTCATGGAATAATGCACTGTTATAAACGTCAGTGTCTTCTATAGGAAAATATCTGATGAATTTTTTGTGTTTTCTATACGAAAAAGTTCGTACGATGAACTTTTTTGGTTTTCTATACGAAAAAGTTCATCCGATGAACTTTTTTGGTTTTCTATACGAAAAAGTTTGGTTTTCTATACGAAAAAGTTCATCCGATGAACTTTTTGTGTTTTCTATACGAAAAAGTTAATTCGATGAACTTTTTTTGTGTGTTTCTATACGAAAAAGTTCATCCGATGAACTTTTTTTGTTTTCTATACGAAAAAGTTCATCCGATGAACTTTTTTTTGTTTTCTATACGAAAAAGTTCATCCGATGAACTTTTTGTGTGTTTCTATACGAAAAAGTTCATCCGATGAACTTTTTCAGTTTTCTATAGGAAAAAGTTCATCCGATGAACTTTTTTTGGTTTTCTATACGAAAAAGTTCATCCGATGAACTTTTTTGGTTTTCTATACGAAAAAGTTCATCCGATGAACTTTTTTGGTTTTCTATACGAAAAAGTTCATACGATGAACTTTTTTGGTTTTCTATACGAAAAAGTTCATCCGATGAACTTTTTTGGTTTTCTATACGAAAAAGTTCATCCAATGAACTTTTTGTGTTTTCTATACGAAAAAGTTCATAGGACGAACTTTTTGTGTTTTCTATACGAAAAAGTTCATCCGATGAAATTTTTCTTGTTTTCTATACGAAAAAGTTCATTCGATGAACTTTTTCTTGTTTTCTATACGAAAAAGTTCATCCCATGAACTTTTTGTGTTCTATCCCAAAAAGTTCATTGAAATAACTTTTTACTATGAAATTCATACGATGATTTGCTTTACCATTTCCTGTCCACTTTAATCTTGTAATGACCCATATCCTCTTCTCTCCTTGTAGATCCTTATCAGGAATTGCCATTGCAAACATTGAGTGTTCAATAAATGTACATTTGTCATAACTAGTTCGCTGCCGAATGCACAACGAATCATAAGAAAGTTATTAGAAATTCCCCAAACCAAATGAATTTATTGAAATATTTCGAATATTGGAATTTAGGCTTCGGCATAAATTTAAATTTATTTGAAATTTCGGAAACCCACTGGTTGGCGAAGCGGAGGCTCTACAAAATCTACAAATTTCTACTGGGAACATTGGCGCTAGCTCTAATGCCGATCTATAATGTTTATGGTTACAGTTATATGGATGCCTATATGGAGAAACCATTGTTGCCGCTACTGAATCGCCTGAATGTTCAGATACAAAGTCTTCTGGTGCTGATGACCGTATTCGCGAAATTGAAAACTTCTCCGGAGCAGCATGAGAAATTGTGTTTTCAATTCGGGCTTCTGAATCTATCCACGAAAGAAAAGCAGAAAAACCAGGCCATGTTGTGGTTGAAATCCATTGGCTTCATTTCGCATTTCCTAATCGTTTTTATGGGCATTAAATTTGGCATGGAGAGGAAGAAACATAACTTCTTGGAAATATTTTTGCTAGTTTATTTCTATGTAGTTCAATATATTCTGCAAGTTAAGTTGTTTGAATTTTTTTATTTATTGGTGAAAATTCTCGACCGAATGGATGATTTACTGCCCAATGTGGAGGAGTTGTTTGCCAAATTGCCTTTAAATGAATGGAAATTGAAGTGGCTTTTAAATAATCTATCCCTGATCGATGAAGTTTGTCCCGGTCTCATGAATTTCTATCAATTCTTTATCATGGCTTTGCTGCTGAGCTTCTTTATCTCGAATACGATCTTTATTTATATGGTTTTCCTGGAGGCCCAACAGTTAACCCATCGCAATTTTGTAACCATGTTCACTGTTTTCATGGCTTTTCTTCGTTATTTTGATATTTATCTGTCAATAATTTGCTGTGAGAAAATTCAGGGCAAGCGTTTGGAATGTATTCAATACCTAAGGGGTTGTGAAGAGGATTCGCAGGTGGTAAGTTAATTTTATTTTTATTTTTTGTTCTCTGTTATCTCTTTATGTTTTCTTGCAAAATTGTGTTTTAAAATGTCCATGTCCCATTCCAGATTTTGAATTACTTGCTCAAGCTATCGATCTCTAGATTCTCCTTCAACATTTATGGCATGTTTGACTTGAAGAAACCACTGGCCTTTATGATCCTGGCAACTGTTGTAATGCATGGTGTTATTGTTATACAATTTGATTATATTTTAAAAAAATAAATTATATAATATTTTTTTATAACAGAATATAACATTTATTTCAAAAAAAAAAAAAGAAAATAGATATTTTTTTTTATGATAATAGTTACAATCGATTTCACAAAAATATTCGAGTATATTTTTTTTATTTAACATATATATATAGATATTGTAGTTACTAATACCACTGCTTATTTCAAAATTAATATCTCTATTATGGGGTCCAAAGTTTTCGTTACACATTTGAAGAAATGCCAAGAATTGATTTCAATTGGGCGGTAGAAGGGAGGGGCAGAAGATATATAAATTTTGCAAAAAGGTGATAGAGTGATTGCACAAACGCAGGATGATGATTCTTTTATTTATTGTAATTCTTCTAATATTCAAAAATAACGTAAAAAAGGAAAAACAAAAACAGCTATTTTTGCGGAAGAAAAACTTAAAAATCACAACAAACTAAATGGAACATATACTCCAACATTATCCATTCCAACAAAATGCCGTACGATTATTGATTGCAAATGGATCGGTTTTCATTTTCATTTGATTCTCCTCGACACAGCGACCCAGTGGATCGACAAAATTGGGTTTCTCATTGTCCTTCATGGGCGTCCAAATCTTAATGTCATGATCAATGCCGGACGTGGCCATGAGACACAATTCCGGATGCGGCAAAACACAATTGACAATGGCACTATCCGCCTTATAAATACTGTGTATATTACCCGACTTTCGTTCCCATATGAAAAAGTTGCCATCATCCGAACCGGCCACAATAAATTGACCATCGTAACCAAAATAGTTCGCCTCTTTAATATCCGTTGTCGTATTACAATGGCCCACAAAACGTTCCTTGTAATCTTTGGCTTTGCAACGCCAATAGAATTCCTCATCGGACATTTCGCCACGGGCAAAGATATCAGCCACGGGAGATTGTTGTTGTTGCTGCTGGTGTGATGGGGTTGTCTGACGATTTTCCTTGATATCTTTATTCAGCATTAAAACACCATGATTATTGGCATAGCTGGGGAAACGTCTTATCAATTCCTTTAGGCACTCATCGGCATCTTGGGGACGTCCCAATTCTAGCAAAGATCTAGCCAAACGAAAGTGGGCCTTTACATACGACGGATCCAAACGCAAGGCCGTATGACAATCCCTCAAGGCGGCATAAATATCACCAAACCAATCGCGTCGCATATAGGCTGTGGCTCGATTCAAATACAACACCGGCGAGGCAAACGAGGCCAGGCGTATGGCATCGGAATACGTTCGTATGGCCAGATAATACTTTTCATTTTCCAAAAAATCATTACCCCACTTTTTATATTCCTCAATTTGTTCGGGTAATTTTCGACGATTATGACTCGTCGATTCTTTTTCCCTTTGCGTGGCCACCTTATCCTTGTCCACTGCATCGGATTCTGTGCTAGGACTAGGTGTTTTAAATTCCGGTAAATTTAAAAACACCGGCTGTTCTGCATTGTATAAATCGTAAATGTAAATGTGTTCTGCTCCCATATTGACTAGCAGTTCGGTGCCGGTGGCATTAAACGTTAGATATGTTATTGCCCGCGATTCATGTTCGATTCGTTTGCTATTGTTTTTACTGATGTGCCCCGGGCAATAGTAGGTGACGCACTCTTTTGGTATGTCGCCAGTTTCGGGAGCATCTGAAGATAAAAAAGACAATTTTTAAATCGATCATTGGAAAATTGTTAAATCCATCATTAAATTATTGGAAGGTTTTTTTATGCATAGAAGACACTTTCAGAGTATTCTATTCATAGAGACTCTTCCATAGAAATCGATATATGGAAGGCCTTCCATATATCGAATACCTTCTGCCAATAAGGTAAAGTATTCTAACTATAGAAGACATAGGTTTACTGACTATAATAGGCCTTTGGAAGGTCTGAAAATCTTTTACTTATACAAATCCATTTTAAGATCTTTTACCTATGAGAGACCTATAGAAGGTCCTTCACAGATAGAATAACTTTTGATGGTTTATAATGGAAAGCAGATATTTATAAGGTATTCTAACAATAGAAAAGCGATAGACGGCCTTTGAAAGGTCTGCTAAACATAGAAGACCTTTAAAAGATTTTCCAACTATAAAAGACCTTCGAAAGTATTCCAAGTAAAGCAGACCCCTAAGAGATCTTTAGAAGCTAGTATGTTGGACGAGCTTCTCCGCAATGTCTATGAATATAAAAACTTATGCTTCCTTCCATAGGTCGTCCTTTTCATGGACTACTTTTGAAATTCATAATTGCAATCATTCAGCCCCTTTTGGGGCCTTACCATTTAAAGCCGATGAAAAAGTCTTAAGCATACGTCGATCATAGATTCTGGCATAGGGATCATTTGCTCCCACAGCTATGTATTCCGTACGTATTGGATTTACTGCAATACATTTTGCCTCAGCATTGGGATCAATGTAGGCTGTTAAATTTATAAGGCTAACACTATTGCTGGTCGAACGGCAAACATGTTTTTCACGATGATCCAATTGCAGGACACAGCCATCTTCCCCAGCAGACCTGGAATAAATGGAAAATTTAAACAAAACCACAAATGGACATTCGTTTGCTTACCAAAAGACATATGGCGAATCTGGTGCTGTGGCCAATCTCTTCACCCTTGCCACATGACAATGACATGTATACAACGATTCTGCCGGAGAATTTGCATTAATGTCAAATAACATGATTGTCTTATCGGCCGCTGCCGTTGCCACTAGACTATCATTGGATTTCGGTAGAAATTTAACTGAAAACATATTGCCATAATGTTTGGTGTGAATGCTTTGCAAACGTTTCTGTTTGAATGGATTCCAGAGAATTAGCTGGAAATCATCGGAACCAGAGGCCAAAATACGTCCATCACTACTCCATTCTAAGCAATTTACACAACCTTCATGTCCCTTTAGTACGCACTCCTGTTCGAGACGTTGCATGAATGACGGCAAGGCATGTAAACGTCTTCGCACATGACTACCGAAATCGTCGCTATAGAGCATACGATCATTCAACAGATGAGCAATATTATTGCTTTGAGAATCATAACTTTTGGATTTTCTCATGTTGCTGTAATGGAATAATAATAATGAATAACATTTAAACAAATTTATATTTAATTTCAGTGAGAACATATCGACAAGAAGTATGGCTAGCACATATATCAAATAATAGGGGAAAAGATTCCGCTCTTTTTCGATGTCAATGAGAATTTAAAATAAATCACACTGTCTAATTGACAGATATCTAATTGGAATCCCTCAAGGAGACAATAAGCTTATTTTGCAAATCAAAATGCTCCAATTCAAAAGTAACTACCAAGGGGTTTTAATTTACCATCTGCAACGCAAAAGTATAATCTTATCTACTGTTCATCGAACATTTATAAACAATTAACCAACTTACTGGTGTTTATGCAGACATCGAATCGACCTGAAATTTAAGTGTCTTCTTTGATTCTCTTCTGCCCGTCCACAACGTCGTCGTCGACGATTTGTTGCTTATCTCACTATTGACGTTGCGTTTGCAAATTGCAATGCAGCAATAATGAAGATTATTATTCTTCTTGTTGATTTGATAAAGTTGTTTTTCTCGGTGGTCTTTTGTCGTTGTTTTTCTGTTGTTAATTCACTTATTCATCCAGTTGTTTTTCAAATAGCCATAGCAAAAACTTTCTAGTTTTTACATTATTCAAAAAAGTTAACATTATATATTTGTTGCTGGATGGGAAAGAGTAGATTCCCTGATATCGAATTTACGAATTATAGACGGGTCAAATGAACTTTTTTTTGATTGTAATTAAAAAAATAGTCTATTTGTTATATTTGCCTGCTGTTAATTGATTTGTTTTGATAAAAATAAATCAGCCATCTTGGAACCCAACGAATTTAAAAGTGTTCCAATTGTAAGAATGAACGAGAATAAGGAATAAAATGTGATAAATATTGTCACAAAGGAGAATGATGGATAGTGGACACTATTATACCATTGTTTACGAATGATTGTGGAAATTAGAAATAGAAAAATAGCGAAACAGCGACAACTGGTGGAGTAAACATAGAAAGGATAGTGCCATATAGATCGATATTCGTTTATAGGGGTCAGTGAATCGATTATTGACTTGTCAACATTTGGTAGTTTCATTAAAGTAGAACATAACATGGATGGATAACATGGAGAAGGGTTACAACTCTGTATCGAAGTCTTATAGAATCAAATAGACTTTTAAAAAGCAACAATTGGTTTTGTTTATTTTATATTTTTTCCGACAAAATTCTTATATTGGGGGAAAATGACAAAACTTGAAAGAAATGTTGAAGTTATTTCACAATATTGAATCTACGATAGAAGAACAATGCAGTTTTATCCGAAAATTTTACACTTGTGGCCCATTAAAGTCGAAAATATGCATTTTTGTTTCTCTTGAATTTGGAATACATTAAATTTGTTTTTATTTTTTATTTAAAACAATACACAAACATATACAAACTGTGTATATGTTTTGACAGGATAGGGACACCAAAAGAAAAAAATTGTATTTAGGAGGTAGCTTTGTTCTACCTTCTGTAATTATGCCACGGGACATACCATGGTACAGTAATTAAATGGCAGGGCAGAATGATTAAATTTGAAAAACACAACCATGAAGCTAGAGTTTTGTAACATCATATTAACAAATACAACGAACCGTTTTGTGTATTCGACACTTTTCTCACAATACTTTAATTAAATAGAAAAATTGCGGAAAATAAATGGAATGCTCACCATTTTAATTTGATTTCATTTCAAAACGAAAACATTTATTTCTCCCATGGTACAAAGATATCAAGGTAGGGCTATGATACCATATGATTTCAATTTTTTTATTGTCTTGGCTTAATATGTCATCTTTATTTGTTTATGTATGTGTTTTCTTTTCAATAACAAAAAAATTGTTCAGAAAACATTCAAATTCGGATGTTTTCAAAATGTTTATTTCATCGTATGCATCGACAAAATCTAGAGTTTTTGTAGCGAAATAATCCTTTAGAGATATATAGAACCGGGTTTTGAAAAGAAGTGTTGACTTTTCATTCAGTTTTCGCGGTTTTCAATTATTTATTCAAAGTAAAAGCAACAAGTTTTTTAATTTTTTTTATTGTTTTGATACTAATTCTGACATTACAAGCCAAACAGGTAGACCTCTATACTTGCAATTTTTTCAAAGTTGACCTACCTTCTCTTCATTGTACCATGATTTCTCCCATAAGCTGTAAATATGAATTTAAATTTCAGCAGAATTTGAAAATGTTCAAAATTATTTTATGTATATCTAATTTGAAAAGTAAGGAACTACTCTAGATATAATCATACCAATTCTTTTCGTGAAATAAATTGATAATTCAGTTCTTCAATATAAAATACACTACTAGCGTTATCCATTTTTTTATTTAAATAAATTTAGCTGTTATTGCCCATGGTACAATGAAGAGAAGGTAGGTCAACTTTGAAAAAAATGCAAGTATAGAGGTCTACCTGTTTGGCTTGTAATGTCAGAATTAGTATCAAAACAATAAAAAATCAAACAACTTGTTGCATTTATTTTGAATAAATAATTGAAAACCGCGACAACTGAATGAAAGGTCAACACTTCTTTTCAAAATCATGTACTATATATCTCTAAAGGATTATTTCGCTACAAAAACTCTAGATTTTGTCGATGCATACGTTGAAATATACATTTTGAAAACACCCGATTTTGAATGTTTTCTGAACAATTTTTTGTTATTGAAAAGAAAACACATACATAAACAAATATAGATGACATATTAAGCCAAGAAAATAAAAAAATTGAAATCATATGGTATCATAGCCCTACCTTTATATCATTGTACCATGTTATTGCCTATTATGAATATAAAATATTGCAACATGAATTCTGTAAACTTTACGTTAAAAGTTGAAGGGAAGACGGTCTGACCTTTTATTTATCGGACAGTTCATACTAAATGAAACTTGTAATAACGAAAAACGATTTATGTGTCCGACAACATCACTTTTTTATCTATCGGCAAGATGTAAAAACCGGCCTAAATGTTTTTAATTGAAACAAACGAACACATTTGATCAAATATGGCAAGAAAATGAAAACATGCACGTTTGTTTCGTGCCCTTATCCTCAATTCATGATATTTATTTCATAAAAATTCTCTAGTGGACACATTATCATATGAAAGTGAAATCATTTGAAATCTTGATCAAAAATCGATTTACTTGTCCCTATAGACAGATGTCGACCACAGTATCACTACCCTTCCAACTGATTGTGTATCGCTATTTTGTCATGTTCTCATTCGTAAACAGAAGACAATTATGCCTAACACTCATTCGTAAACATTGACCATTCTCTTTTGTGTCAGTTTTTATTGGACGTACTCCTTTGTTTTTCCAATTCGTTTTATTGGAACGCTTTTTTAATTGTTCGGTCCAAGATGGCGAGAAAAATTAAAGGAACAACAGATCAAGAGAAAATAGTGTAATATTGAATAAATAAATTTGTTTTTTTTTGTTGTTTGGTAGCCGCCAACAACTGAATAATATGTCTAAGGCAAAAGAAACAAAAAAGAATAAAAATAATACGACCAACAGCAGCAGCACCACCAACACCAACAATACCACAATGAAACAAAGTGTAAACGGCCAAGAAACGATGGAGACAACGTCGACGGCGGCAGTAGTAACCAAAAATTCCAATCAACCAGATAGAAAAATAATGGAAAAGTGTGAGAATGTCATACAATTTGCCAAAGATTTGGATACAGAGGAAGACAATGACGATGAGGACGACGATGATGATGGTAGTGATCAATTTCATTCCGCCCCCACCACACCTACCAGATCGAATAGTTCGTTGAAATCCTTTTGCACGCAGCAGCAGTCTCAGCCAACTTCAGGAAGACGTGAAGAGAAGGAAAGTGGTGCAAAAACGACCACGACCACTTCTGGCGAAGCGTTGCCTTTACACAAATGCATCTTTTTAAATGACATTGCCGAGCTGAAGAAACTTCTGCAGAGTAAGCGTGAAAATCTGTCGCTGAAGGACAAGCATGGCAATACGCCTTTGCATTTGGCCGTTATGTTGGGCCGTAAGGAATGCATAAAACTGCTCTTGGACTATGATGCCACGGTAAAGATAAAAAATAATGAAGGTTGGACAGTGCTGGCAGAGGCAATATCCTATGGGGATAGGGATACGATTGGTTTGTTGTTGAAAAAGTTGCGACAACAGTCGCGGGCGCATTTGGAATCACGGAGATCTTCAATGATCAAGGGGCTGAAGCAGATACAAGATTTCTATATGGAGCTCAAGTGGGATTTTACATCATGGGTACCGCTGGTGTCTCGCATGTTACCCTCCGATGTGTGTAGGATTCACAAGTGTGGCACCTCGCTGCGTTTGGACACCACTTTGGTGGACTTCAATGATATGCGCTGGGAACGTGGAGATATTTCGTTCATCTTTCGTGGTGACCATCCCATGAATCATTCCATTACGGTGCTGGACAATGAATATCAATGCTATCAGCACATACACTATGAGGATTCCGATATTGATGATGAAGTGGACATTTTAATGTCCAGTGACATTTTGGCAGCCCACATGTCCACAAAGAGTATACAGTTTGCACGAGCCCAAACCGGCTGGATATTTAGGGAGGATCGCAAAGAAATGGTGGGCGGACAATATCAATCGGAACTGTATTCTGTACAGGGTCTGGTGTTAAAACAACGTAAACGTCGCGAACACTTGACCCAGGATGATATACAAAAGAATAAAACCATGTTGGCTACCATGTCCCAGGGTCGTCGTTCTAGTCTTACGAACAGTAATAGCAATTCAACAGATGCCAGTTCCACCAATGGTTCAAATCACACCATAGAAGTTGTGCGGCGCTCCTCATTGCCACCACCACCAAAGCCCTCCATATCGTGGGAACAATACATAAATGCCGAGACTGGTAAATGCCCCCAGCTGGGGCGACCACCCGTCCACAAACAATCCAATAAATCGCTGAAAGCCACTGTTGCCATGTCCAAAGATTTTCCCCTATCCGTCGAAATGTTACTGAACATCTTGGAGGTAATTGCGCCGTTCAAGCACATCAATAAGCTGCGGGAGTTTGTCAATTTGAAATTGCCTCCCGGCTTTCCGGTCAAGGTGGAAATACCGGTGCTGCATACGGTCACGGCAAAGATAACATTTCAGAAATTTGAATTTCGTGACAATATATCACCGTCGTTATTTGAAATTCCGAAAAATTATGTTGAGGATTCAAGGCGTTTTCCAGACTTATGACCTGGTGGTGGGGAACAGCAGCAACAGCAACAGACGGGTCAAACTCAACAGAAAGCAGGTGCTGCTAATGGTGGGGATATGACCGCCGATGTCAATCGTAATAAAAACGATAGATTTTAAATTACAACAAAAAAAAAAGACAATCTAAAGAGTGGGAAAACAAACAACATCAGCAACTACAACAATAATCCTTTAGAGAACAGGGATTTCACATAATTAAATATAAATTGACAACAAAACAACAACAACCCAGAAAAAAAAGAAAATAAAATGTAAGTACAAATATGACGTCGACATTTCTTCCATTAGCGTTTATCAACCGCTTTGTTATGGCCTTATCTTTATTATCAGTTTCCCATTTTTAGCTTATATTAATTTTTATCAGCTGTCATTGGCTTAATCATCCTTATTTATGAAGAATTGGCACTGTTTTATTTAATTAATTCATTTTTGCAATATTGGGGTGGGATGGAGTTGTACCCTACATCAATCAATGCTGTTTTGAAAGAACTTTTTAAGAATATTTTTCAAGCATCTTTGGAACCAAATGTGCCTATTTTAAAGGATCGTGGATTCCTTAAAAATGTTTTTTTAAAAGAATCCAATTTAACTATTTTAAGAATATTTTTAAGGCTATTTTTTTTAGAATATTCTTTAAAGGTATTTAAAGCCACAGACGTGAATTCGACATATGAATGTTCTTTTGCTCTTTGGGGCCACAAACTTGGCTAATTATAGAATATTCTTCAAGAGCCTTTGAAGCCACAAACGTAGATTTTTCAGGGATATTCCTCAAAAGGAGGTTTTTTATACTCTCAGCCATATGGCTAGAGAGGGTATACAGGGTGAGATAAAAAAAACTGCAACAAAGTCAAACGCCATCATTTTTTCATTTTTTTTTTAAATTTTATTGAATGAAAGCAATTAATGTCTGAAATAGCAACAAATTTTAGAATAAGTTTAGATTTGTTCGAACTGGTCACCTTTGGCACGAATTATGGCCTTCAAACGGCCAATGAAATCGTCACACGCGGCCCGAATGTTGCTCTGCTGTATTTTGGCCCTTTCCCGGCGAAGCGCTTGCTTGAAATGATCGACACTTTGGTATTTTTTACTACCAAACTTGCTTTGCAAAATACGTCCGGATTTTCATCCGGAGATTTTGGAGGCCGTTGTGGAGGCTTGAAATGAAGCGAGGAACCTCATTTTGTAACCATTCTTGGGTGGCGGTGGCGTGTTGAGTGTGATGGTGCTGTGTCCTGTTGGAATGTCTGCGACCAAAATGTTTGCATACCCCAAGGCTTTAATACACCCTCCAGAATATTTTCGCGATAATATTCAGAATTTATTCTGATGCCACGGTTGATTAATACGAGCGGAGAGCGACCATCGGCTGTTATGGCGGCCCACACCATCACCATGACCGGCGCTGGAGTTCTGGTGGCCAACCGAAGGTGCACATTTTCAGCTGACCTCTTTGGCAAGTAAACACCATCATTTTGCTTGTTTACAAACTGCTGGACAATGAGTGTTTTCTCATTGGAGAAAACCAATTTCGTAGGTTACCACTTTCGGCCAAGCGAGGCAACTCTTTAGCTCTTTTGAGTCTATTTTTTTTCTGTTGCGGTATAAGTTCTTGCACTTTTTGGAATTTCAATGGCTTTACCCCGAGCTCATTTTTCAATATTTGCCGAATGGAATATTGCGATAATCAGCTCACGAGCCATTTTTCGGCCACTGGGACGACGTGGATTTCGATCAAGTCACTTCTTTACTTTTCAAAGCATTTCTGCTGATGTTGCTGTTTTCTTCCGTCTATTTCCTTGACGTCGGCTACGCAATCAGTATCACGGTAACGAGAGATGGTACGAAACGTAAAAGATTTATTCACATTTAAATGCTGGAGTGCTGTAACGATAGCCATTTGTGCCATTTTCCAGTCAAATATAAAGAAATCACTCTATCACGCTGGAATTCCATCACTAATTACTTTTTTTCTGGAAACTTCTCACCAAAATGCTTTTGTACGCTTGTAAACAATATAATGAGCTATTACTGGAATAATTTTAACAGCTGTCGGATGAGTGGCTTAGAAATGACAGCAGTCTGAAGTTGGTTGCAGTTTTTTCATCTCACCTTATATATCGTTTGCTACGGGCAAAACGTGCCTCATCGAAATAACGGTTTTAGACCATAGGTCCCTTTGGACCAAATCCGTTTCAGGACATTTGGAGTCGATCTAGCGATGTCCTACCGTCTGTCTGGTTGGCTGGTGCGCGTATCCGATTTGATCCAAACTTGGTACATCGTAATATTATAGTCAAACATAGATCGAGTACGGATATGGGCAATATCGGTCCACTCCTTCTGGTACCTTCCACACAAAATGTCATCATTTTCAAAGAAAATAATTTACTGCACAGAAAGTGAAAGGTAATCTGATTTTGCTTCAACTTTGCGAATCCTAATGTTTGCATCAGTGCAAGTTCAAGTGCCAAAATGGGCAATATTGGTCCACTCTTTCTGGTACCTCCCCCCGCAAAGGGTCAACATTTTGAATATAAATGAAGCTTGTAAAATGGGTAATTTACATCCGATTCCATTCAGATTTGCCACATTTCAATATTTCTATCAACACAAGATCTGTTATAAATATGGTAGAAATCCTTCTGCAACCTCCCCCACAAATGTTTCAAGCAAATCTGCTATCTTTTGATTTTTCAGATCCTAGCTGGCAGATCAACTCCTCTCAAAAAAATTTCGATGCATGTAAACAAAAATTTGAAGCTGTTTTTTTTTATTTGTTTTGAAATAGTTACTTGTATTAAACTAGTATTCTTAGTTTCCGAACTTATTCCTTATTTATTGCATTTTTTTTAATTAAGAATTTCATTTAATTGTTATATTTCTTTCCAGCTTCAAAAAGAAAAACAATAACAACAACACATGGAAAGAAGATAAAACAAATTGAGGCATTTTTTCGCAACTAGTTTGTATTTGATAAAAAAAAAGAAACAGAAAAAAAAACAACCCAATTAAATGTAACGTATCATCCTGCATCTCAATACAAATCTTTTATATAAATTCACAATCTTACACACACTTCATCTCCAAAAATCTCAATGCCAAATATGAAAGGTAGCAACAGCCACTAACAGAAACTTTAAACATTTTTCAAATATCAATCGGAATTATATTCTGTACAGGGTTTGGTGTTGAAACAATGTAAATGTCGCGAACACTTGACCCAGGATGATTTCCAAAAAAAAAAGAAATAAAACCATGTTGGCCTCCATGTCCCAAGCTCATCGTTCTAGTCTTACGAACAGTAATAGCAATTCAACAGATGCCAGTTCCATCAATGGTTCAAAGCACACCATAGAAGTTTTTCAAATGAAATTGTTCTCATATCAAAATCATGGCTTCTATATAGTAAAAATTTCTTCACTCTTTACCTTTAGAATTTCTTACTCCCCAAAATACCTTCTTGTGTGTCTTAAATATTTTTCCTTAAATTTATAAATCAGACATCAAACTTTTACCAAAAAAATTGTACAAATTGTCCAATTCTCATATGAAAAACGATCAAGACGTTTACTTTAAAAAATTCAACAATTCCCTCACCCTTTACCATTTTGATTTCCTGCTTATCAAAAAACTTTTATGTCTGTCTGCAAATTATTTTCATAAAATTTGTAAAAGATGATCATCACCAATCAAACTCCAAGATGATCCAAATAAAATTTTTCAAAAAAAAAAAAAAAAAAATCGAGGCATTTATTTTAAAAAAAGAATCGAAGTTCTCTCTGGTTACTATTTCTTTCTTCAACAACTTTTTGCAATATTTCAAAGAAGTTGTTCAAAATAAATGTTGTGCGTTTGTCAAATCATCAAAAGTGGTTGAAATCAAAAAAATCCAAATTCTCTCTGATACCTATTTTTCCTCAACAACTCATGAAAATGTTTCTACGCCTTCCTGGCTTCCAAATTACCATTCTCGTTAAACTTTCATATTCTGGCATTGATTTACAAACACTTGCCTTTCACATCGTTTCAAACTCTAATTTCACAAAATAATGATTGTTTCCTAGACTCTCTCTCTCTCTCTCTCTCTCTTATACACATCATGAATATCATCTCTCTCACTAAAAGCTGCATTATCACTATACTTATTATTATTACTATTATAATTACTATTATTACTAACTATTTATTAACCTAAGTAATTTCATTATCATCTAATTTAAGTCACAAACGAAATTTATTCCTATATATTTTTTTGCTCTTTTAGTTGTTAAGTATTTAAAGAAATAATTTATTCTATTATACATCTATTTATTTAAAAAAAAAAATAATATATACAGGGTGAGATAGAAAAACTGCAACAAAGTCAAAAAGCCATAATTTTTACATTTTTTTTTAAATTTTATTTAATGAAAGCAAAACATTTCGGAAATGGCAGCAAATTTTAGAATAAGTTTAGACTTGTTCGAATTGGCCATCTTTGACACGAATTCTGGCCTTCAAACCGACAATGAAACCCTCATACACTGCCCGAATGTTGCTATGCGGTATTTTGGCCCATTCCCGGCGAAGCGCTTGCTTGAGGTGATCGAAAGTTTGGAATTTTTTTAGTGCCAACCTTGCTTTTCAAAATACTCCAGACACAATAGTCCAACGGATTGGTATCCGGACATTTTGGTGGCCATTGTGCGCTGGAAATGAATCGAGGAACATCATTTTGTAAGCATTCTTGGGTGGCGCGTGCTGAGTGCGATGGTGCTGAGTCCTGTTGGAATGTCCAAAGTCTGCGGCCAAAATGTTTGCGTGCCCAAGGCTTTAATACAACCTCCAGAATATTTTCGCGGACCGTGATGCCACGGTCGATTAATACGAGCGGAGAGCGACCATCGACTGTTATGGCGGCACACACCATCACCATGGCCGGCGCTTGAGTTCTGTTCTGGTGCCCAAACGAAGGTGCACATTTTCAGCTAACCTCTTTGGCAAGTAAACACGATCATTTTGTTTGTTTACAAACTGCTGGACATCGAATGTTTTCTCACTCGAAAAAAAAAAAAACAATTTCAGCAGTTCACCACTTTCGGCCAAGCGAAGCAACTCTTTAGCTCTTTTGAGTCTATTTTCTTTTAATGTTGCGGTGTAAGTTCTTGCACTTTTTGGAATTTCAATGGCTATACCCCAAGCTCATTTTTTCAATATTTGCACAATCGAATATTGCGATATGTTCAACTCACAAGCCATTTTTCGGCCACTGCGACGCAGATTTCGATCAATTCGCTTTTTTATTTTCGAACCATTTCTGGTGATTTTGCGGTTTTTTTTTTTCGTCCACTTACTTGACGTCGGGCTACGCTACCAGTACCACGGCAACGAGCGATTTTACGAGACAGAAAAAATTTATTCACATTTAAATGCTGAAGTGCTCTAACGATAGCCACTTGTGGTTTTCCAGCCAAATATAAAGAAATCGGACTTTCACGCTTGAATTCCATCACGAATAACTTTTTTCCTGGAAAATTCTCGCCAAAATGCTTTTGTACGCTTGTAAACAATATAATGAGCTGTCACTGAAATAATTTTAACAGCTGTCGGACGAGTGGCTTAGAAATGACAGCAGTCTGATGTTGGTTGCAGTTTTTCATCTCACCCTGTATTCTTGATCAGCTTAAAATTCTATGTCGATTTAGTGATGCCCGTCCGTCTGTGGAAATCACTCTAGTTTCCTAACGAAATGAAGTAGGTTGATAACATTTTACTCAAATGTATATTATGTCTGCAGGACTTTTGGTAATGAAAAGGGGTCATGTAGGTTCAAGTTTTTGTATAGCTCCCATATATTCAGTTTTTTTTTATGAGTTTAGCGACATTATTCACCGGAATTGTTTCGAGTTTGGTGTTTGAAGTTCGTAATGGATACTACAGACTAAGACGACAAATTTGTATGTGCAGATCCTCGTCTTCGTATAGCTCCCAGATTTTATTACGCATTTGAATATTGTAATGGCTTATGGCAAAATTTGCCAAATTCGTTCTAAATGGTGGAAGGTATTTAAAGTTCGGTCGGGCCAGTTTTTTCCCTTTTTTAAGAGAATTTACTGACAGCTAGTCTAATGGCTTCTTGAAAATAATTTTGCTATCCGACCCGCCTTCAAAACCTTCCTTTTCTCACGAAGATTTCTTTCAAGTCTAAGTAGGTCAGTTTTAAAATAAATTTTTGTAATGGGATTTTTGTTTTCATTGAATCGAACCTAACCTCAATTTTACATAAGTTTCGTTAAGAGAAACCAAACCATTTTTTCTTGGTCCGATTTTAGCTTCATACAACAGGATAAACCTATTTCAGTTATTCAAAACTGTCCCAAGTTTCAATTTCTTTATTGACCCTGTGAATGTTTAATAGTTTTTTAAAATCGGTGTCATAACCTCAAAAATTATATCATTGGGTAGTAATTTAAATGTTTATTTGTTGTTAGTACAACAAAAGAAGATGTTACATATATATATTTATTGAGTCCTTACTTAGGAAAAACATACAGAAAGTTTCAGCAAAACATTCGAGATAGGTGAAAAGAAAAGTGAATTCACTTTTACAGAAAGTTTCTGAGTTTACAGAAAGTTTTTACAAAAAAAAAAAGTGAATTCACATTTCTTTTGATGGCAAAGAAGAAAGTTGAATGAGATAAATGTGACATTTTCTCCTAAAAACTCACTATTGATTCCGATTTACACGTGTAAAGTTTGGACTTTCCTCAGTTTAAAAACTGCGCATAAAGTAACAAAAGAGATTTGCAGTTTGCTTGTACTCTACTCCTCATTCTAATCCTTTGCTTGACTTTCCTCCCAGCAAACTTACTACGTGTGAATAGGGACTAAGATTCCCTGCAAAATGAGTACGTTCATCCCAAAAAAAAATCATGAGATTCTTTGTGTCCTAGAAAACTACACTGTCGATATTTCGACAAAAATTAACATTTTAGGAAGGTAATAATGAATTTATAGGTTAGATTGAAGGTTTGAGTTAAGTTTCTTTGAGACTTTCTTCCTCCTATAGAAATAACACTTGGTTGAAGCTTTCTGTGTGTGAGCTCCGCTTATATTGTTAAGCATATAATTAAAGAATATATGTTCCAGAAGTTTGCCTACACAATTATAAATTGTAGATCTCCCCACATATAGAATTATTTTTTTTAAGAAAACAAATCATACAACTGCTGCCTAAAAAACCGTATTTATATATATTGAGCGTACTTAAAGATAAATGAACTCTCTCTACAAGGGAGGCCAATGTAAACTGAGCATGAAATGAGTTACACTAAGTCCTGTTTCACACACGAGTGCGTATACGCAATGGGATTGACAGTTGAAATCCACTCGATTTAATAAGTCTAAACGTACTATAAATGTAAACACGGCTTGATCGTAAACTCTTTTTTTTCAGGAAATTTTCATATTATTTGTTCCTGCTCGTTTGTTGGCCTCTCGCTGTACTTTATTGTTATATTTAAAATAAAATATAAAAACATTTATATTCTTCTTTACAGTATAACTATAGCCAGTTTTATTTTTTTTTTTTCATATATTTTTATATTTTTTTTAATTTCCATTATGCTGTGATTTCAAATTTAATTTTGTTGCAAAAAAAAAAAACTCCTAAGCACTCTAAACATAAGACAAAACAATCACAACTTAAAACAATATTTAATTATATCACACACACATATATACATATATATTTTATCCTACCACATTAAACTGCTGCCATAAAACAAAAACAAACAAAAAATATTTATCAATTATTTATAACAAAAATCATGTTATCATTATTATTATTATTATTAAAATTATTAAAAAACATATATTAAAATATTTGTAGTTTATTTAATTCTGTTCATTTTTTTTGTTCTCTATATTTTTTAAGTTTTATTGTAGCTTAAATTTTACTATTACAAAAAGTACATAAACAAAACATCATAAACAAATCAATTATTTAATCAAAGCAAACAAAGTATATCAAATGTTTTAAATGTTTAGTAATTAAAAAAAAAGAAAAACAACCAAAAAATCCAAAAACAACAACAACAATGTACCACATCAACAACAACAACAAAATGCTTGTATTAAACCAATGAAAGAGAAAAAAATTAATAAAAAATATATGTTTTCACCATACAACGTTTTGGAGTTTTATTTCGGAAACCGGATCGATTACAAAACCGTCCTATATTTCCCAATATCCTAAATGACTTGCGCTAAACATTCTCTTTGTGGGTTCAAAGTCGATAAAGATATCTTCTATTGGAAGTTCTGATGGTAGAAGAATAGATGCATCACGACTTGTAAACATTGATATGTCAGAAATATTAAAAAAAAAATCTTCAATAATAAATTGTTTTTAGATTTTTGTGGTTTCAACAAATTTAACTGATTCTAATTAACTGACTATCTTTTCATTCAATAACTTTAATTCCTAATGTGTTTTGACCACCAGTAATATTTTTGATGGCTGTTTTCTAATTTGTAACGCTTAACTTGACATAAATCGTTTTATATACAACGCCATCTATACTTCAATATCAACAATTTTGTAGTTCTATCTATTTTTACCAATAATACTATACATTGCTTGTCCATTTACTCCCCATATACCGTATAACACTATTTTCCAGCATACACTGCTTGAGTTTTATAATAAAATACAAATTATACCCATATTTTATATCCAATTTCTTTTCTTGGTTTATTATTTTGAAATAACCCCCATTGTGGCAACGGACATGTCAACTGCAAAATTGGCAACACTGCAATACAAAGGCGCAACTTTAATAAAGACGAAAAGATAAAAACGCTGTTTTCACGTAATTTTAAGCAATAAAACAACAATTATTCGAAACTTTACTCAACTTTTTTCACTGGCACACCTTCTTTTTTGTATTACAAACCAATTTGTTTGAAGTACAACAAAAAAACATATAACCATATGGAGTTTAAGTTGTACGCCATCATTAAAGGTTGAAGGTAAACAAACCCCATACACATTCTCACAAACTCATATTCTCTCTTTCCCTCACTCTCTCTCCCTCTCTCTCCAAAATAATATTTTGACGGCTGGTTTTTCGCAGACATTTTTTACGCAATCAAACCAACCATCCATTTTGCTCCTCATCCAAAGAACAATTAAATGACCAATGAATAAACGGAAAAACAAACAAACTCAAATAATAAATTGTAAAAATCAAACATAAATTGTTAAAAAGCCAAACAAGTCAAGGCGGCGGTAAATTGTGGAAAAATATTTGAATTTTTTTAATTTCGCAAACGCTAAGCAAATTATGGAACAGTATGGAAATTTTGGACCATTAATTGGTGTCATCTATCTAAGCAATACACATTGTAAATTTATGGTAAATATATTGCTTGAGGAGAATGTATAAAAATAATAATGATGAGTGTGTGCCAAAGAGTATAAACATAATGCGTGCTACTTACTGTTGGGTTTCTTTATAGATTTTTTCAACCAAAAATGCCGAAGTTTTGACTTTCCATGAATTAAAGCTAAAACAAATAGTCCACAATGCCGGTTGGCTGGAATATGATCCCAATGAAATATGGAAACATACCCAGGAATGTATTGAGGTGAGTTTTAAATATAAAAATCCTTGCAATGGGATGGCAAATTGACTGTTTGATTTTTTGGTTCTAGGTGGCTTACAAAAATCTGGTCATATTAGAGATCAGTCCGCATGACATCATCGCCTTGGGCATATGTAATATGCGAGGTACCACTGTCATGTGGGACAAAGAAACTGGAAATGTTTTACACAATGCCATTGGTAAGTTATGTTTTATTTTCAATTTCAATCTTCGTTACCAGCCAACCATGTTATCAATATTTCGTGTTAATTATTTATGCTAAATGTTGTCATTCTTTTTGTTTTATTGTTTCTCTAAAGGCTGGACTGATTGTCGTTGTACTTCAATGTTGAAGACATTGCTTAATAATGTTAAACAAAATGTTGATTATTTACGGCCCCTGTGTGGCTTGCCATTGAGCACGTGTTTTAGTGCTTTGAAGATTAAATGGTTAATTGAAAATGTAACGGCTGTGAAGGAGGCTTTGGAGAGGGATACATTATGTTTTGGAAACCTGGACTCATGGATAATGTGGGTTAGTAAAAAAAAAAACAAAATTATAAAGAAATATAATTCCAAATATTAATATTTGTATTTTTCTAAATTCCAGAATCTTACCGGTTCCGAAACATGTGGCGTTCATTCCACAGACGTAACTAATGCACAATATACTGGCCTTATGAATATACACACAATGCAGTGGGACAAGCAACTATGCAATTTTTATAAAATACCCATGCAAATACTGCCGCAAATACGTTCCAATTCAGAAATTTTTGGTTATGTTATCGAAGGACCACTAAACAATACACCAATTGCCAGTGTAAGTTAGATGACCATAAAATAGCGCTAGAATTGCCTACTAAATTCAACATTTTTCCTGTTTTCTGTATCTCTTTCCAGTGTATTGGTGATCAACCTGCAGCTTTATTGGGTCAACTATCGTTAAAGGTTGGCCAAAACGTTTGTTCCATAGATGATAGTTGTTTTTTATTATTAAATACTGGCGAAGAACTTATCGAATCGGAAAATGGCCTGCTCTCAATAGTTTCATATAAATTAGGTCCAAAAGCCAAGGCATGTCATGCCTTGGAGGGCGCCATCAGTAATGCCGGTTCAACGGTCCAATGGCTTAAGGAGGGTTTGAAAATTAATACGGAAATTAATTCAAATGATAATGTCGTCGAGGTGTTGAATACATTTCTGGGCGAAAGTTCTATGATCTCATCATCATGTTCCTCAAGTATATTGAATGCTGAGTGTGGTTTGGCAGCACGAAGATCGGAGATTACCTTTGTACCTGCTTTTCATGGTCTTTACGCACCCTATTGGAGATATGATGCCAGGGGGTAAGGAAAATTTTTAATAACTTTTTATTTATATTTGCCTTATTAATTTATTTTCTGCTTTTTCTTTAGCATCATTCTTGGTCTGACAAGTCAAACTACTGCCGAAAATGTTACCCAGGCTGCCTATGAGGCAACCGGGTTTCAAATCCACGAAGTCTTGGAGGCATTCAAACGTGATACACCCACATGGAATTGGAAGGATATAAAAGAACGACTGATTTTTGGTGGAGATTATGCGGAGAATACTTCCTTTGTTCAATTCATTGCCGATATTGTGGGGTTTGTGCTGGAAAGGCCGCAGACCACGGCACCATGTGCATTGGGTGCCATGATAGCAGCTGGCATTACAATGAAAGTTTTGGATAAAAACTATGCACAAATTGCATATGTCCCACCCTCAGATGCCATTAGTCCAACTACCACACCAAACCGTAAGTTATGCTTTTCTAGATTTATTTTACAAGGTTTTTTTTTTTAATTTGAATTGTTTTTCTTTTTAGGCCGTGCTTTGCTCTACAAACGCTGGGAGTATGCCGTTAAGAAGTGTTTAAGCTGGAACAACTATGAAACATTCGAAGAGGACATTGCCTTGTTTGCCCAAAGAGAACGTGACACAAATCTGCCCATACGCCGTTCCCTGCCGGGCAGTATATTTCTGACCAGTGCATTTGTTTTCCTAATCGTAGCCAAGTTCTTAAATAACAAGTAAATTTAATTTATCTTAATCTAAAGATATTTACCATAGATAATTGTGTTAGGATTTCTTTTATTTATTTTTTTTTTTTGCCCCCGAAAAAAACATACGTACAAAGTGTTAATAGAATATTTTTTTTTTTTTTAATTTTAATGAACAAAAAAGAGAAAAGAAAAACTATGTAAAATTTTGTTAAATGCAATTTTTTTATTTATTGCTAATTTTAAATATTTTTAACTTAATTTGATTTAGTTATAAGTTGGAATATTGTTTTAGTATAAAATCTAGTCATATATAGATATTTTAAATTTGTTAACTATATAGCTATAGAAATTGTGTATATTAATTATTTTTAAGAATGGCATTTGTTTTTTACTCTACACACAAGAACAAATGACATTTGCCAACTAACTAGGTTCCTTGCTACCGGGAATCATACAAACGGGAATGTTCATGCAGGAACAAAGAATATTTTCCCCCAATCTCCTCTCTTTCCAATACTGTCGATTTACTTTTATGATGAACATATTTTTAGCCATGAGGAGTATGTCATTTTTTCTGTTTTTTTTTTTCTTATGAAAATAAAACTCTGCTTTCTTTTCTTACAAAACTCTTTTTTTCTTCATTGGAAAACATGAGTTTAGTTCTCTTCTATTAACTTTCACTCTCTGCTTAAAAACAACCGTTCACCATGACTAAAAATTTTTCGCTGCTTTCCTTGAAATCTCATTTTTCTTTAAAAATTTCTCTTATTCTTTTCCCCTCTCAGTAAAAAATCCCAAGTCTCTTTCATAAACTTTCTCTGTGTGATTCCCGGATTATTTCTTTGTTTATTTGCCATAAGTAAGGTTAAGTTTTGAATTAAGCTATTTATTTTCTTTTTTTAATTATCATAACGAAATTCCATTTGAAGAATATTCTATAGAAAAGACAATTGTTAATTAGATTTTTTGTTATAAAATTTTTTTTCTAAATTCTTTAAAAAAACATATATATAAACGAAATTCACTTGAAATTATTCCAATTTATATCAAATTGTACTAAAGTTATAAAATATGATAAGCCAGTGGCTGCAGTTAGAAATGTTAAATGTCGATCCAAATAAAATAAACCGCATATACGAAAACGACCATCAAATGTTATCAATGATAGGGAGACATTTTCCAGCTAAAATAAAAAAAATGAAATGGAATAAACATATGTTTTGAGAAAATGTTATATGCAAAACCCACCGTTTCTTCCAAACGCCAATCCAAAGCCGGCAACTCAGCAAATTCCTTTAATGTTTTCTTTATCGCTTTGACCTCATTTTCGATTTGATCACAAATCATTGTCACAATATATGTATCGATGTAGAAAATAATGGCAAAAATGAAATTCAAAACAATACCCGTTACCGCAAAGGTTTTGTGTTTAAACAGCAAATTAAATAATGTAAATAAATTCGTTAAATTACTAATCAAAGTTGTGAAAATCAGACCCAAAATCTGAAACTGATGTAGCCTTATGCTATCCCTGTAGAGATCATAAATTTGCCAATAACGTCGGCAGAACTCTTGTACACGGTCACTCATCACACAACACAAATGACCCAAGAGACCAGCACGTTGCCTTCTCTGGCAGTAGGCCAGCAACAGCCTATTCTCCTCCACCATTTGGCATAATTGCTGTTTCAGCTGCCGATAGAATTTCAGAGCGGAACAATTTATAAAATAAAAATAATCTGCCATATTTTCCGTGTAATTCCACAAAAAGAAAGTATAGATCTGAAAATACACCCTTACCGGATGACCATCACCAAAATAGGCATGTAAAATTTGTGAGATTTGTACAATCATCATGGCATTGATTAGACCAAATTTGAAAAGCAACATAAACTCAAAACGTTTCCGCGGCGTCTCATCCATGCCCACACTCGAACGATTGAATTCATCTTCCAGATACTGACGATGTTTTGTTATGGAACGTATATCTTTGTAGTGTATAAAATTGGCAATATATGTTACCACAACCATGCAATATTTGATCAGGGTGTTGGAAAAATTCACCACAAGCTGTAGCTGCCAGCGACGATCTTTGGTCTCCACTAAATCTTGTATGGAATACACAAAATACAGGGGAAGCACCACAATGACCACGAACATAAGCACATGACTATACACCAAGGCCAGATAGTGGCGAAAAGATTTCGTTGGTATTGTGGGTATATAATTGATGACCACCAGTCCATACAAGTTGGCATAGATATGACCAAATATGTAGATTTTGTCCTTGTATTTTTCCCAAAAGCTTGTTGTCATCTCTGGGGGATACTTTCCTTCGTCGGAGTTGTTGATAAACTAAACAAAAGTTTAACCAATTGGCAGCTAAGCGAAATACTTTTGCCATGGCTGCGTGACAAGCACTTTGGGAACAAAAAGGGAATTCGTTGACCCATATTATGTTATCTTACATTGTTGCGTGCACGCAAACTTGGCCATGACAATGAAGGGAGCAGATTTAATTAAACTAATAATTTTTAGAAGAGACTCTCAAAGCCAGCCAGTGAAGAAGTTTTAAAGAATTTTTTTTTTTCAAAATTCCAAAAAAATTTTGATTTTTTAGTGAATATTTTTTTAAGAATAATTTTTTGAGGATTTGAGACGGAAAACTTGTAAAGGGTGTATTTACAAAGACCTTCAGGATTAGGATTTATTTATATTTCTAGGATTATCAATTGATACACAAAATTGTTTATTTAAAGAAGGAATATTTCATAATGTAGTTTTCCGATTTTTTTTTTTGAAAATTTTCAAGTACCTTTCAAATGGTGGAGGGTATTAAAAGATCGGCCGGGTCGAAATTAGCTGTTGAATACCTCCATGTCTTGGTTTAGATATGATTAAAAAATTATGAAACATTTTTTAAATCAATTAAAATTTATTAAGTCTTTGTTTTTGTGTTAAAAAAAACAAAGACTCAATAAATTTGAATTGAATTGAAAAAAATAGTTTCATAATTTTTTTAATCATATCTGAACCAAGACATGGAATTATTCAAAAGCTCATTTCGGCCGTGCCTATCTTTTAATACCCTCCACCATTTGAAAGGTACTTGAAATTTTTCAAAAAAAAAAAAATCCGAAAACTACCACTTAATTGAAAACCGCTACATGGAGATTATACGAAGACGTGGACCTGCATACGAAAATTTTTGTCATAGGCTGTAGTACCTATTATGAACTTCAAATACGAAGTTTGAAATAATTTCGATAAATAAATAAATAAATAATGGTATCTTCCAGTACGAAATTTGAAATGTTGCTGAGATCACCAAAATACCGAATATCGGGAGGTACCGTTATATGGGGGCTATACGAAGACTTGGACTGGCATACAAAAATTTTTGTCATAGGCTGTAGTACCCATTACGAACTTCAAATACGAAATTCGAAATAATTCCGGTAAACAATGTCGCTAAAATCATGAAAATACTGAATATTGGGAGGTACCGTTATATGGTAGCAATACGACATGACTCATTTACGAACGTAACCTGCCTACTGGTAAACTATGCATGTATGCAAAATTTTAGCCTTTTATCTCAATTCGTTCGAAAGATAGCGTGATTACAACGGACAGACAGACAGACGGACATCGCTAGATCATCTTAGAATTTTAGGCTGATCCAGAATATATATACTTTGTAGGGTCTATTATGAATATTTCGAGGAGTTACAAACGGAATGACAAAGTTAATATACCCTCCATATAATGGTGGAGGGTATAAATACTATTAAAGGAAAATACCTTCAGAACTAGGATTTTTAAAATTTGCTTGAAAGAATTTTCAAGGATTTTCAATTGGCATACAAATTCGTGGATTTTAAAAAATATCTAATGTCTAAACAATGGAAATACATGGAAGTATTAAAAAAGATAAAAAAACAGGAATTTCTATAAATTTTAAGAACCATCAACATTCATAGATTCTTGAAGGTTCTGAAACAGAACACACTAGTTTTTTCTATCATCCCTGGAAAATAATTTGTTGCATTGTTCTTTGCCATATTCACCATGATCAACATTTCACATCCCAACAATTGAAATGAATCATTGGATTTATAAATAAAACAAACACACATTCATTCATACATTGTTGATTTGTTAGGTACATATTAACATAATTCATATTTCTATTTTATTTCGTTGATTATAATTGTATCTTTATAATTTTGTTGTTGGTAAACAAGAAAATGCTTTTGTTTTTAGAAAGAAAGAAAAAAAATTAAGCTTAAGAAGAATAATCATTCATAATCATCAGCGTAGTAGACTGTTTCAAATAGCTTATAATTACTATATATAAAAAGAGAGATTGAAAGATATATATGTATAAGAGAAAAGTTTTCTTTTCCAGAGAGAAGAACGAAGAAAACAATACGATTTCGATATTTAATATAGTCCATTGATTTTGTGCTATGGTCCAGCGAAAAAAAAAGAAAACTGTGCGCTATTGAGAAAAAAACAAGGGATATATGTTTCTTTATCGAACAAATTTTAACATAACCTTGAATTTTTTCTATAGGTTGTGTGTTTTTGGTGTGTCGAGAGTAGCCATCATTGGCTGGTCAAGCAATTCCTTCAATTTGCTTCGTATTTTGATGGTGTTTTAGTTTTGTGTTAACTTTTGTCGTTCCTTAAGATTCACTATATAACAAGTAGTAGTACATATGACTAGTGTAGTGTGTTGTGTCTGTGTGTGCTCCAATACAATAAAAAATGTGCTATTGTCGTCTTGTCTGGCATTTCAATTGCTCTTGAACAAAACCTTGGGCGAGGTTTTAATCCTCATCGTCATCATCATCCTCTGGCACAAATAGATCATTCTCCTCCAGAAAATTGGCCACAGATTTACTAATCGCAGCCCCAATAAAAAGACCAGGCAATACCGAACACAGTACACCCACCATGCCAAATGGGGTTTCTTCGGGTTTCGGTTTCAGAGCTCCACTGCGAAAATGTGTGGATTGTCGCCTTTGTGTCTCCGTGATGGCTCTACCCAAAAGTTGTCTCATAACGGGTGAAGATGCGGCGGACAAAGTGGCAGCAGCTGCTCTAATTTGTGCGATGCGTGTTATTAACATTGTGCGAGTTTGTTATTATTGTTTTCTCCTATGGACTATGGGCGATAAAATACAAGTTATTTAATTTTTGATCTATTTTTGGCAATTTTTTTCTAGATTTTACCCCAAAATTCCAAAAAAAATAATGCAAAATCTGTCAAGTGTAAATATATAGGTTGACAACTGATTGTCTGTCTGCCAAAACAAAACAACTGCAGCCAACTTCACATGAAAGAACTTTTTAATGGAATTAAATGACAGCGTTCTGGCGTTTGGCGTCTTTACTTTTGCAAGGGAGGTTGAAAAGGTTTTTTCATGACGTATTTTTTTTAATTTTGGCATGACCTCTTTTAATAAATTAACAATAAACATTATTAAATATATAATAATGTTTATTGTTTATTTATTAGGAAAACGTGTAAATTTGTTTATTCTAATGTTGAGATTTTCATTTAAATTATGCTTAATCATGGCTCAATAATAAAGTTTGTGCAACTTCAAAGGAATTAGAAGAATGCAACTCTGTGCTGGAGTTGATGATTTTAGCGACATTATTCACCGGAATTGTTTTAAATTTGGTATTTGAAGTTCGTAATGTATACTACAGCCTATGACAGAAGTGTGTCTGTGCAGGTCCACGCCTTCGCATAGCCCCCATATAATGGTACCTCCTGATATTGGGTATCTTGATGATTTTAGCTACATTATTCGCCAGAATTGTTTCAAATTTGGCATTTGAAGTTCGTAATGGATATTACAGCCTATGACAGAAAATTGTCTGTGCAGGTCTACGTCTTCGTATAACCCCCATATAATGGTACCTCCCGATATTCGGTATTTTGATGATTTTAGCGACATTATTCACGGGAATTGTATCAAATTTGGCATTTGAAGTTCGTAATGCATACTACAGTCTATGACAGAAAATTGTCTGTGCAGGTCCACGTCTTCGTATAACCCCCATGTAACGATACCTCCCTTTATTTGGATTTTTGATGATTTTAGCAACATTATTCAATGGAACTGTTTCAAACTTCGTGTTTGAAGTTCGGAATGGGTACTACAGCATATGACAAAAATGTTGACGTCTTCGTATAGTCGCCATATAATGGTTTTCAATTAAGCGATAGTCTTCTTTTTTTGTTTGAAAAATTTCAAGTTCCTTCCACATGTTGGAGGGTATTAAAAGTTCGGTCCGGGCGAACCTAGCTTATTTTTTACTTGTCTATGGGTTTGGCAGGTCTAATTGAATCTTCAACAAATTTTCACATAACCTATAAAATTTTTCTTTCGTTCAACATTAACCCTTTTCCCCCAAATAATGAATAAAAACACTTTCATTTTTGCCGAAGTGGAATTTTATATATTGTTTTTTATTTATTTTTTAAAAAATGTGTGTGTGTTTTTATATGGATTTTTCAATAAATTCTTTTGTTTTACATAAATATTTCAAGAGATAAGTTTGTTGTTTGAATATAAAGATGTGTGTGTTTTTGTTTTATTTTTACTGACATAATAAAATAAAAATAATAATTCATATGTGTATTTTATTTTTTTAATGGATATATAATAATAAAAAAAGTAGGTACAGTAAACATAAAATTCCAAATCGTTTACTTCTGGTGGATTGTGTTCAGAGACGAACGTTGGTTTTGAATTTATTATTTTTTCTTGCCACCAGATATAAATAAAAACTCATACGCCATCGTTTTGTTTTCCAAATAAAAGGGCGCTGGGCAGGGCAGGAAATGCCAAAAACAAATTGGTGTTACTTTGTTTGAGGGGGTGAAGAAAGCAATATTTCCACACATTTTGAAGCCATAAGGTGTATTTTGTAGGCCTTGTTTTTATTTGCTTTGAGAGTTTTATATACTTTTTTTGTTGTATTTTTTAAATATTTTTTGCAAATTTTTTGCGATTTTTTTGTATTTGGATTTTGTTTTTTTTTTTGTTATATTTCAAAAAAATTATATTTTAACCTTGTATGGTTGTTGGTTACTTTTTTAAGGTTTTTTTAAATGGCATTTTACGATTTTTTTGTGGATTTTTTAAAGTTTTTTGTTTGAAAGTATTTTTCAATTTTTTATCTTGTTTCAAGTAGCAAAAAATCGTTCTTGTTCTTCTTCTTCTTGTTTTTTAGGTTTTTTTCTTGTTGTTGTTTGGTTTTTCAATATTTTTATGCATTTTCATTAACTGTTTTCAATTTTTAAGTTTTTAATTTTTTCGATTTTTTTGCAATTTTTTTTTGGTTTTGGTTTTTTGAAATGTTTTAAAATGTTGGAGGTGGCGAACACAAAAATATATGTTTTCTAGAACTCAGCAGATAAAAAAATTTATTTTTGAAAATTTTACAAATTAAAAGAAATTAAAAAATTCAGTTTTTTTTTTTTTGTAACGAATCATAATGTTAATGTCCCCCTTGGAATCTTGGCGGCAATAGCTCAAACAAAAAATAATTAAAAACAAGTATTAAAAATGTTTTGTTTATGGTATTGCCACACACACACAAGAGGACAGCTAAAATTCCGTTTGGTGATCGGCAGAATGAATTTCATACATAGTTCTTCTAATTTCATTTCATTTTCTTTCTTTTTTCATTGTGGAGAGAAACTTGCTCGATTTGCGACTGCTGATGGTATGAAGGGAAAAAATCAAAAACATAAAGAGAAAGAAGATTAGATTTTCAATGTTTGTTAAGACAAAATCTAGAAAATGCTTATGTAAAAAAGAACAAAACATAGTAGTAGTAGTAGTAGTGGTATTCAAAAGAAAAATTAACAAAATTCCATTAAAATTTCATAAAGAGTGGGTATTTGCTGAGCTTTTGTTTTGTAGTTTAGGATTTCTAAAAATGTTGATTTTCCTTTTTTTCCATTTGAGTGAAGAGTTTCTGCTTTGCTACTATAAAGTTTCTTGTTGTTGTTGTTTGTTTTTTGTAGTGCTTGTTTTTTGTAAATTTTTAATTTTTTTTGGTTTCTTGCAAGTTTTTCCTTTGTTTAGTTGGTAGGCACAGTTTCACGAACATTGTGAACTTCCAACACGGCAACAGCTTCTTCAACCTTGGCCTTGAGGGCATCATGATCTTCGATCATGTGCAAAAGTTCGTAATTTTCAATTTCCAACAACATGCCGGTAATCTTGCCAGCCATGCTGGGGTGCATGCGTTCAATCATGGGATACAAACGTTCACCCAACATTTGTTTTTGCTCTTGAGGCTTGGCATTGGCCAACATGGAGGCCAACAATTTTTCTTGACCTGAAAAAGGAACAAAAAATAAACCATTGCTGCTATTTGTTATGCATTTCCATTACTTACCACCCTTTTGGTGCATTTGCTGAACCTGAGGCTGAGCTGGGACCTGTTGTACTGCAGGATTACGGACATTGGTGTTGTATTTGTAGTTTGCAGCCCTTTGTTGTCCAGCACCAGCTGGCATAGGAGCACCAGCCATTGGCATATTGGCGGCTGGAATAGTTTGCTGGCCAGTAATGGCTCTAGCTCCGGTGTTGCGCATGCTATTGGCCGCACCTGCGTGGGCACCTTGCACGCCTTGTTGTTGACCGCGAGCGGCGGCAGCAGCGGCATTTGGTGGACGGTATTGTGCACCAGCTGCACCGGGAATGGCAGGATTTTGGAAGCCACCGGCAGCAGGGGCAGCCTGAGCCACACCTTGAGCTCCAGCAACGGGTCTTGGTACCTGACCAGCCCAGCGTGGAGTGTTGCGCATAGCGGTGGGCACCTGGGGTCCGAAGAAACGTTGTCCGGGTCCCATGGTGGGCACAAAGTAACCGCCAGCAGTTGTGGGTTGGAAGATTTGACCAAGGGTCTGCATGCGCATACCACCCATGTGACGCATATATTGGGTGGCCAAATGAGCCTTACGCACCTCTTTGCGTTGGGCCAAGGCAACATACAAAGGCTTGGAGCCAATGACACGGCCATTCAATTCAGTAACGGCACAGGTGGCCTCATTGGGGGCAACAAAGCACACGAAACCAAAGCCCTTGGAACGGCCCTCTTCATCGGTCATAACCTTGGCGGAGGTAATGGTGCCATACAACGAGAATTCCTTACGCAAACGTTCATCATCGATGGTATCATCCAAATTCTTAACATACAGGTTGACACCAAACACCGACTCTTGGCGTTTCTTTTTCAATTCCTCGAATTTACGTTTCAGCTCCTGTTGGCGTTCGGCCTTCTTCTGGGCACGGGCCACATACAATGTCTTGCCCTCGCTAACTTCCTTACCGTTGAGAGCCTCAACAGCAGCTTCAGCTGCCTCGGTGGTTTCAAAGGCCACAAATCCAAAACATTTGCTCTTGCCATCATCCTTAGTCATTACCTTGTAGCTGGTAATCTTGCCATATGGTTCAAACATCTCCTTCAATTTCTCGTCGTCGACATCTTCGGCAAAGTTCTTGACATAGACGTTGGTGAACAATTTGGCCTTTTCGCCGAGTTCCTTCTCGCGTTCCTTGCGTGGAATGAATTTGCCAACGTACACTTTCTTGCCATTCAACAACATACCGTTGACTTTTTCGATGGCACTGTTGGCAGCTTCTTCGGTCTCGAAATGTACGAAACCATAACCCTTGGAGGTGCCCTTATCATCGGTGGCAACTTTGCAACTCAAGATATTGCCAAAGGCAGAGAATGTGTCATAGATGGCTTTGTTGTCAATGCTTTTGTCCAAGTTCTTGATGAAAACATTGCCAATGCCGGAGCGACGCAATGAGGGGTCACGTTGAGACCACATAATACGGATGGGTTTGTTGCGGATCAAATCAAAATTCATGGTGTCGAGAGCACGTTCAGCTGGAAAGAAAGAGAATGGAAGGAGAGTCGTGAGTCAAGTCTCAAGTATATTTTTGAAAAGAACCAAGTAAATTACATTAATAATTATAAAGAAGCCCTCCCAAGTCTTCCGGACATTTGAAACCCACTTGGAATAGTTTGACATCTCTGACTCCTAATGTTCTATATTTGCATAAGACAGTGAAATCTCTTTGAGTAACGGCCGTTATTGGCGTGTGATGATGAAGTAATAATTCGATCTATGGAAACCTAGTTTAGATAATCTGATTAGAGATAGCAAATTGGGTTGGACATAATCGATCTAACGATCTCTAACATATTTTTTATAGCCCACAACGAATTTCAAAATGAAAAAAGAATACATTTTCTTTAATTTCTATGCAACAAAGAATGTCCTATTAAATGAAATATTGATAAATATTCACTTAATCATTAAAATGTAGCTCTTCTACTTCTGTTGTGTCCGGGTAAATATGGACCACAACATGGTAAGTCAAGCCAATGATTTTTTATAGCAATTGTGAATCTTAATCGACTGAAAATTAGTTACAGATCAACCGACCAATGGGTATAAATTGCATAGAAAATACTCAAAACAATTCTTTTCTAAAATGTAGCTCTTCTACTTCTGTTGTGTCCGGGTAAATGTGGACCACAACATGGTAAGTCAAGCCAATGATTTTTTTATAGCAATTGTGAATCTTAATCGACTGAAAATTAGTTACAGATCAACCGATCAATGGGTATAAATTGCATAGAAAATACTCAAAACTATTCTTTTCTAAAATGTAGCTCTTCTACTTCTGTTGTGTCCGGGTAAATGTGGACCACAACATGGTAAGTCAAGCTAATGATTTGTATAGCAATTGTGAATCTTAATCGATTGAAAATTAGGTACAGATCAACCGATCAATGGGTATAAATTGCATAGAAAATACTCAAAACAATTCTTTTTTAAAATGTAGCTCTTCTACTTCTGTTGTGTCCGGGTAAATGTGGACCACAACATGGTAAGTCAAGCCAATGATTTTGTTATAGCAATTGTGAATCTTAATCGACTGAAAATTAGTTATAGATCAACCGATCAATGGGTATAAATTGCATAGAAAATATTCAAAACGATTTCATTCTATAATGTAACTCTTCTACTTCTGTTGTGTCCGGGTAAATGTGGACCACAACATGGTAAGTCAAGCCAATGATTTTTTATAGCAATTGTGAATCTTAATCGACTGAAAATTAGGTACAGATCAACCGATCAATGGGTATAAATTGCATAGAAAGTACGCAAAACGATTTCATTCTATAATGTAACTCTTCTACTTCTGTTGTGTCCGGGTAAATGTGGACCACAACATGGTAAGTCAAGCCAATGATTTTTTATAGCAATTGTGAATCTTAATCGACTGAAAATTAGTTGCAGATCAACCGATCAATGGGTATAAATTGCATAGAAAATACTAAAAACGATTTCAATCCAAAATGTAGCTCTTCTACTTCTGTTGTGTCCGGGTAAATGTGGACCACAACATGGTAAGTCAAGCCAATGATTTTGGTATAGCAATTGTGAATCTTAATCGACTGAAAATTAGTTGCAGATCAACCGATCAATGGGTATAAATTGCATAGAAAATACTCAAATTACTTTAATCTAAAATGTAACTTTTCTACTTCTGTTGTGCCGTGGTAAAATTGGACTACAACATGGTAAGTCAAGCTTTATATTTCTCTAGCAACTGTGAATCTTAATTGGTTGAAAAAAGATATGTGAAATCCAACCAATCAATGGGTATAAGTTGCATAATAATAAGTTGTATTTCCGTACATAATTGCAGATAAATAAATAAATCTCATTATATTTAAATGTGGAACTTTTAAAAAAAAAGTCCATTATATACAACAATTTATACTGGGCTTCTCACTACAGTATAGAACCTCAATATATATTAGGACCTCTATATACTTCTCCATATTAAATTCGGACGCAACTATATACTGACGCCCTTATATTCTTTATTATATATTGTTATAATCCTAGAAAACTATTCATAATATTTTTGAGGCTTTTGTAGCCCGTCATAATTTATCCTCAACTATACGAGTTACACATAGTTTAGAAAGTCCTTTGTAGAGCTCTTCAGCTTATTTCATTTGTCCCTATTTATGTCATATTTGATTAGCAAATGTAATTGACATTTTCGATCTACAAAACCCTAAACTGCTGGATGATAGTGATCATAAGTGAGAATAATCAATACCAAAATAATAATCAATCTAGCTTTTGCTGTGTAACAAGCAGCGATTAAGAAGGATAGAAAGCTAAAGAACATAGGAAAATTGAAATTAAATACAAACAATAACCAAATCAATTGCATTTTGATGTATACTTCGTAAACTCTCTGTTTTTTGTAAACTAATGGGTAATTAACAAGTCGACCTAAGGAAACCTAAAACGAATGAACCGTTTGGCATTTAACATTTTTTTTGCAGAAAAAGAATTTTGCCTGTGGTATTCTTTTGTCTCAAGTTAAAAAAGGAATTTGGTCTAGGAAGTAGAACCGTCCACAACAATAAAATCTATTGTCTGCTTTACCAGAGTCTGGGTGGGTATGTATTTCGGTTTCCCACTACACATAAGCTTATTTCATAACTTTAAACTGTAATCCTGTTTCTGTGTATATTCCAGCTCTCAAAGACCCCATGTACAATACCCACCAGCACCATATTACATATTTGGAAACCTAAGGAAACCTAAAACGAATGAACCGTTTGGCATTTAACATTTTTTTTTTGCAGAAAAAGAATTTTGCCTGTGGTATTCTTTTGTCTCAAGTTAAAAAAGGAATTTGGTCTAGGAAGTAGAACCGTCCACAACAATAAAATCTATTGTCTGCTTTACCAGAGTCTGGGTGGGTATGTATTTCGGTTTCCCACTACACATAAGCTTATTTCATAACTTTAAACTGTAATCCTGTTTCTGTGTATATTCCAGCTCTCAAAGACCCCATGTACAATACCCACCAGCACCATATTACATATTTGGATCCATTTAAAATTGAAGCTTTTTCATAATGAAATCCAATGTACCATTCTACCATTAACAAAATAATGTAAGTTTCCTCAATGAAACGAAATCACAGTGCAGCTCATGTTGGAATGCCAATGTTTTTGGGTGTTATCAAACTATATAGAAATCAAATCGGCTTTCTAACAAAGACTATCTTTGTTTGGCACATATCTACAAAGCCACAAGAGAGAGCCACACACACACAAGGGCAGTAATAAGAAAAATTGGGGAGGAGGAATGGTGGTTGTAGCAGCAGACAAAAAAGATAAAACGTCAAAAGTACATTCACTTTTCATTTCGGCTATGCTTTACATTGGCTTTATCATAAAATCTGGCAACGCCATGACTGAATAGAAGTGAGAAATTGTGCAGCTGATCATATTTCGCGTTTGTCTTGCTAAAGCGTATATACATCTCTAAATTTGTGTTTGCTTTTATGAATTTTGTAAGAGCATTGTGGAGAAATTGAAATTTAAAAGATAAACTTTGGATTTTTGTGGAAAAGTATACGAGCTTTATCTGGAGTTTGGCGTGTTGCTGTGAAGATTATAATATATTGCTGAATTGGATTCTAACTGTAGTTGCTTTGCTTTTTACGCTACTTGTTGCTGTTGTTGTATGCTGTTTGTTCTTGTTCAATATGCCGGGTGCCGCTAAAATTGTATGTGGTGTGTGCTCTGAAAATGTTGGGAAGAGTGGTAGCATCAAATGCATAATTTGCTCACACTGGGTACATGCATCATGTGCCCAGCTATCTGATAAGGAATTGTTGGCTATGAAGGCGATCAAAGTAGCAGCATTTGTTTGTAGTTCTTGTGGAGACAAACTTGCCAATCCAGGTAGTGTTGCTGATGATATCCGCCAGCTCAATAAGAAATTCGACAATTTTATTACTACAAATCAAGCTGAGCAGAATGCTATTAAAAGTGCTCTTGATAACATAAAAGCCGAGATGGTTTCATGTTTGAATGGCATGAAAGAAGATATTGTAAGTTGTAACAACCGCATTGATGATGTTGATTCTCGCACTTCATTAAAAATGAAATCTTTGGAAGCGGAAAATAATATACTTCATCGGAGGCTTAACCGGGCAGATTTTATTATTGGGGGTTTGCCTGAACATTTAAATGATTTGATTGCTGTTGTTGTTGCTTTGGGTGAATTCTTCAAAATACCCATTACGGCAAACGATATCCATCATGTGTGCTATATGCATAATCGCAAGGCGGTCTTGGTAAAATTCAATTGTGTACTGATTCGTGATAAAGTTATGAAGGAGTACTTCCGGACTCGCTCCCTAAAGGTCTCGGACATCCTGAAAGGTGATGGAGGAGATATTAATGCAAGGATCTACCTGAATGACCACTATTCTCCAGCTGCTGCAAAACTTTATACAATATGCAAGAGTATGGTTCGCAAGCAAATTGTAACAAAATTCAAAATTTTAAATGCTGATAAGCTTAGAGCCAAATTGCTGCTGTCCGATGGTAAGGAGGTGATTTATGATACTGAGCGATGTATTTTGCTCCTACATGATGCTGCTTCGCTAAACTAAGTTTTTCTTTTTCTACATATTTAACCTAGTTTTGATGATACAATGGCATAATATTATAATATCAGTCCTTATAAGAAGTTCAACTTTTGTTAAATCTAGGTTATAATTTTTGTTGTCACTATAACTATAGCTTTTGAATTTTTTCTTTTTCTCATAATATGAGTTTACAATTATATTGATCTCGTAAGATTTATGATTAGCTGTGTCTTTCGCATTTTAATGAAATTTCTGGAATTTTTTAATAATACTCTGAATTTGTATAATTATTTTTGTTGGTTCCCCATCTTACGTGCCTTGTATAATTTTGATGTCTTTTAACATGAATATGGGTGAGGCGATTAGTGGAAACACGTATTTTAGATCTATTTTTAATTCAAG